ATGCCTTAATTTACGACATTGAAACAATTATAGGCCTATTTGCCTCTTTGCGTATTAGCTAGACACAATCGAAAACGGCATTAAAATAAAACAAGTAAATGAAGTAGTAAATGATAATGTGACCAAACGCTAATGTTTGAGGCTAGCATTAGCTCCATGCAGAAAGAAGGTAAAAGAAGGGTAAATTTGAAGCAGAAAAACAACAACAACAACAAAAAATACATCAAGTGGTGTTGACTTACCAGTAGTTTTATTTATGTATTTATTCATTTATTTATTTACACACTGGGCAATACAGTCAAACGGATTTATAACTGAAAGAAAAGATAATACCCACTAAACATGTGAGAAAAAGACAACGGGGTCAGTGAACGTACTTCCGCGTTTTGTATGGCGTGCGAACTGGTTCAAATGATGTCAAGCGGCGTTCTTATTAATTGAAATGTTTACTCGTGATTTGGGGTTATAATCAGATTAACACAAGATAAATGCAGCAACAATTGGAATAAAAACCCTGTAGTTTACAACTGCAGTCTAATTACACGCAATATGTCCCTTCCTTATTCGTGGGATAATTACAGGCTCCCTTCACTGAGTTAAATAAGGCCATGTATGGTCCTGTACTTCCTTGTGTCAGCTTTCTAGGGTTATGGATCTGAGGTCACTAGAGTGAAAAACTCCACCCACATCAATATAAATACAAAACAACCGTTTCCGTTTTCAGTGAGTTAGTCTGACAGGACAGGTTACTGTCTCATATTCCTTCTATAGTAAGTTCAAGAGAGGACAAGATACCAACCATGTTTCTTTTTTCATGGTTTTCAGCATCCACATGGACTCTGCTGGCTCTCTTTTTTACCCTGCTGTTGCTGTAAGTCGTGTTTTGTTTGTTAGCTCTTAAACTGTAATTACTGCATACTCTTATCAAAGCCAACTGACCAAAGACATAGGGGCACAACAGAACCACAGGTAGGAAGATAATCTATAGTCACTATAGAAGTAAAAGAAATCGCCAGGTAGTCTATTAGTGATCTAGGTCTTATTGCAGACTTCAAAGTCTAAGTGTGAAATAGTTCTAATTTCAGATTCAGGTGACAAGCAAGTAGGTCTATGTTGAAAATAAGCGTTTTTGTTGTGTAAATGATTGTGTAATATTTTACACATATTGCAGCATATCTTGCTCTCAGACCAACAGGAACAGTCTTAGAGGTTTCTTACTCTCTCACAGAACATATTAAAAAAAAGACTGAAGTGACGTGATTTTTAGAGATTACCACCTTTAATTGTCTGTGTTATGATTATGATGCTATCATAGGCCTATTTATGGAGAGACAAATTCAGACAGCACATGCACTTTATATTTTATTGTCATGTTATTGCTTGTTATCCACTAATGTATTTTTAGGTATGGGATTTGGCCATATAGACTTTTCAAAAACCTGGGAATTCCTGGACCTACCCCCATTCCTTTTGTGGGAACAATGCTGTATTTCAGCAAGGTAAGGGTGTACCTTTCTACACACTATTGTAATGCTAATCCTCATGTTTCAAATTCAACCAAATCAACATGTTTTTTTTTTTCTAGGTGTTTTTTACCTTTTGACAGAGTGTGCCACCAGAAGTATGGAGATGTTTGGGGGTAGGATATGTTAAAACATTTTTACAGAAAAACAAATCGTCACCTCTGGTGATGAGCATGTGCTGTCTCATAGGAGCTCAACAGCAACTGTTCTGGTTTTAGAGGTAAATTTTCCATTCATTTTCCCATTTTTTAAAATTTTTTATCTTTAATTATCAAAGATTTCAAAGACATTGCAGAGGCTAATACCTAGATGGTAACTATTATCCATTATGTGGTTGTTTTAAGTCCAATAAGTGCATTTAAAATGAAAGATTTAGCAAAGTGTTTAATAACTTGGCAGTTAAAAAACTAAAGTTTCAGAAACAGATTTAAAATAAAATTATAGGTCTTGTGGTCATTAGTTACCATATATAGCCCTGAGCAAGCTTGCAGACTTGTATTTATTTATTTATTTTCAGAAAATCTTTGGGAAAGATGAATGAGAAATTTACTTCTGGAACTGGAGGGTCGGTGGTCATTGTTGAGCTCCATTGATACAGCCTGTTGTAATTTTAAATACATTATTTAGGAGATGTTGAGTTTTCCTCTGTGTTTGTTGCCGTTAGGCTGTATGATGCCCGACAGCCAGTTTTAATGGTGGCAGATCCTGAAATTATTAAGACAGTGTTGGTAAAGGAGTGCTACTCTACATTTACCAATCGAAGGGTGAGTCTAACAGCTTAACCAAACAATCATAAAATACTGTGCTTTAGTTTTATGATTACAAAACATACAACAATTCTTATTCAAAATAACACTATTTTCCCCAATTTCCCCTCATTTCTCACTACTGCACATATTATGCATGAGCAGACAAAATACTTCTAATGTGTTACAAAACAACTAAACAAAAAGTCTCAATGTATTTCAAATTTATTGCAATGTTTAAATGTAAAATTAAAATTTTACTTGTGTTTGAATTGCTCAGGACACTAACATGTCAGATGAAACTGAGTGATGGCCATTACAGCAGTAAAGGATGACAGGTGGAGGAGAATCCGTAACACACTTTCACCATGCTTCACCAGTGGGAGACTAAAGCAGGTGAAACTGAACTTCTTACCATGTTTTAATAATATAACCACAAAGTCTGCAGACATGCACACATGGTTTACTGTTATTTCTTTTACTATTACTTTTTCTGTGGTACAAAAGTTTTAATATTTATTGGATATTTTATTACAAAATATTTAAATAAATAGTACCCATTGTTATTCAGTTCTTTCACCAAATAGCCTCACCCTATCTGGGCTACTACATTTCACTTCTATCTGAGCAATATATTAAGTATACGGTTTTCTAAATCTTTTTACAGGTATTTCCCATAATCCATCGCTATGCAGAGCGACTAGTACAGACACTGGAGAAAACAAACCTGGACGAACCTGTGGATATTAAAGCGTAAGAAATGTGCCTATACCTGTCTAAAGCCCCAAATACTGTTTTCTGTTCTAACAGTTATGTGCTTCAGATTTGTGGCCCCCTACAGTCTAGACGTTGTGTCCAGTGCATCCTTCAGTGTCGACACAGATGCCATTACCAGTCCAGATGGGCTTTTTACCACTCATTTGAAGAAAATGATGAACTTTTCAATTTTGCCCTTGCTTATATTACGTATGGTTAAATTTATGTTAATGCTTAGGCTAATACAGCTTTGTGTAACCCCTGTCTCTATGTCTGCAGTGGTGTTTCCCTTTGGTTCTCGAATAGTGAACGCTTTAGGGCTGCCTCTCTTTCCCAAAGCCAGTGTGGACTTTTTCTATGACATCATTAAAAAATTCAAAGATCAGCATCATTCAGACAAGACTGTAAGTAAGCAGCATGTATTATTATTATCTCTCTTATAAATGTTTGCAATGTGACCAATATTACATTTATATAAATTTGTATAGAGCCGAGGAGACTTCCTGCAAGTGATGATTCAGAATGAAATTCCTGAAATACCAAATGAAGAGATGAACAACCCAGTAAAGGTATGGTTTTTGTATACCAGTTAGGAATGGTCAGTCTCTTTAATCAATTAATTGATGGCTTAATAGACTTAGCATTTGACTATTTATTTGTAAAACTGAACTAACAGTCATTAGGTAATTATGCTCAAAGGTTGGAAGGTATGGATAATATTATTGACATTTACACTTTTGTCTAGGTCTGACCGAGCATGAAATCCTTTCCCAAGCCTTGGTTTTCATCTTTGGGGGCTATGAGACCACCAGTGCCACTCTCTCCTATCTACTGTACCAGCTGGCCCTCAATCCTGAAGCTTTACAGAAATTACATGATGAGATTGACACCTGCTTACCTAAAGATGTACAGTGTTCTGCAGTAGAATTAAACTCACTGTCTTACTGTACTGACTCTACCCTCCATTCTGTAGGCTCCAGTGTCTTATGAGGATCTGATGAGCCTGCAGTATTTGGATCAGTGTCTGAGTGAATCCCAGCGTCTGACCCCAACTGCCCCACGTCTTGAGAGAGCATGTAAGAAGACAGTGCAGATCCACGGCATCACTGTCCCAGAGGGGACCGTGATGGGAATCCCTGTGGCCCTTTTGCACAAGGACCCACGTTTTTGGGACCAGCCTGAGTTCTTCAAACCGGAGAGGTTGGTGCAGTGTTTTATATTTTTACTCTTTTTTATTTATCACAATGCAATAGCTAATGTAATGCATCAATAATGTAACTCCAGATTTAGTCAAGACCATGAGATCAGCCCATATGTGTTCATGCCTTTTGGACAAGGGCCTCGCAACTGCATTGGGATGCGATATGCGATCCTAACTATGAAGATGGTTGTGGTGCGCCTCCTTCAGAGCTACACTTTGGAAACGTGTAAAGAAACAACGGTAAAGCTCAGAGAACCATAATTTATTGTGTAAGTTGACCCAGGCAAAGGTCCAGTTTTATAACCAACTGCTTTCTCATTTAGATTCCGCTGCTGATGAACTGGAGGGCCGCACCTGTGAAGCCTATCAAACTCAAAATTGTTCCAAGGAACCCTTCATAAATTCAGCATCTTTTTTTAAAGTACATTTTCTTGGTATATGTTTTATATATGGTTATGGTCAGCAGCCTGTTTTGTCACGGCATGTTTGTACTCTAACCACAAGATGCTTTGAATGTTTTTTTCCACTAAAACATGGTAGATTATCTTGTTTTTGTGTATTTTTACATCTATGAAATTCACACACATTGAGTTTACATGTCTTATGGGGACATTGCATTGACTGAAGACTGATCCATAGCCTTAACCACAGTTACTACCTGCCCAACACCCTTAACCTAAATCCACCCTTAAATCTATTTGAACCCATATCTTATCTTAACACACTCATTTTATAGTTACACACATTCATAAATAAAATTGCACTGCTTCAATATAAGTGTTATAACATTTAATAACATTTTAACTGGGTAGAAATCCACACAGCTCCAGTGAAGGCTTGGTGATGGATGTTTTTTTTTCTGTTCATCGCTCAGAAAAGGTGTGTAACAGATAACAAAGTGAACAGCAGCAAAAAAAAAACTTTATATTGACAAGACAGCACTTATACAACAAGTACAACAAAAAACATAACTTTTAGCTTAACACACAGCAATATAAACAAACAATCATGTCAAAATATCTTTGGCATAGGTGAAGTAAAAAAATAAATGAACTGGGATAAATTAAAAAGGCAGGTGGTTGGTAAAACATGAAGTTATTTCTCTGTCTGTTTATTTAGTTCGATATGACCAGTAGGAGGTGCGAACTGCCAACATTGTTATGGTATAATATAGTACAATACTCAAACAGGACAGTTTTCAGATATATACACTGTCAGCATACACCTTCAGGGGGAAAAAAATCTTGAACGAAATTGTGGAGCACAGGATGGTAAAAAGAACAGTAAAAGTTATCTTTGAGGGTGTGTCTGTGCTGAGAAAAGGTGTCCAACTTGGCAGCTGTCTGCGTTCAAACAGATTTGCATACACAATACCCATAAACAAAATATCATCTTCATATCACAGAGCAGAGTATAAAACTGGACTTCAAAGTGATTATTCGCATACAAAAAATTGAAAATTAAGAAACAGGATAAAATAATTACATTTAAAAGCCTTTTTACATCCTGAGTTAAATCTCACTTTCACAAAAAGGCCTTCAGGCAATAATATTAGTAATACCACATAGATAAAAAATACTTGTCAGTTGTCCAGCTGTTGTAAAATCAGCTGCACGGCTCTTCTCTCTGTCCACAGGATCCACGTAAGACCCACCAGTTTGAAAAGGCAGCAACAAGGTCACGATATTAACTATTATCTTAGTTGGAATGTAAAAAACTTGACCTTTGTAAATAGGCCTACAACACACAAACAGATTTACAGTGTGAGGCGATGTAGAAAAAAATTGTTTCCACATTGTCTTACCGTTTCAGCAAAGCTACTCATCATCTATTTTTTTATGCAATGTTAACAATAGGCATAAAACTACAAAATGAACTCTTGAGAGCGTCTGCATCTCGAAATATAAGGCCTTTTGAGGTTCTTTATAAAGTAAATGTTTTTAAATCTCACTAAACTTGCATATATAGTGAACATAGTATTTCTTTTACATATGTTTGCAGTCATTTTTATATAAAGACTAAATGAAAGCAACAGCTGTTACTGCAGTGAATTTCAGGCAATGTTTTTGACCAGCTGGCCTTATGCTATTTTGCATTTTTTCCTGTCAAGGTTTTATGAAATGTAAAGACCTTTGCACCAGTGTAGTCAAGTTCCTAGAAAAAATATTCTTCAGTCAGGAATGATAAAAATCCAGCATTTGTCAACAGTTCTTTCTGCTCTTTCCAGCTGACATTCTTAGAGCAGATGAATTGCTTAAAGGTGCATTGTGTAACTTTTCTGGTTGGGGGTCCGTCACCTGCTTGTTTCTATGGATATGTCATTGCTCTGCCTGGAATGTTCCACAGTCTGACATTAAGCAGCTCGACCCAATATTTATTAAATTACTGGTGGTTTTCAAAAATACCATGAAAAACAGGCATTCTGACTGTGAGCCTCTCCACACATATGACCTATAACTTGGTTTTATTTGGTCTCCATGATGATAGAAATACTATACTGTGAAATATTCCAGACAAATCAGTAACGTATTTGACAGTCCCTCCACCAGAAAAGTTACACAATGCACCTTTAAATACAGCAATGACATCAGATTTGCAGCCATAGATTCTTGTGACTGCTTTTATTACCTGACAAAAAACAGTCCAGCCAGAGATCCTATCGGCGTGGCTGGTGGTGTCGGGGGAGTTCGGGGCACAGACGAGAGACTGGGTCTGGTTGGTGTGCATGGTGACATGGAGGCAAGGGAGGCAGTGGCGGCCGCGTCTTCTCCTTCCTCCAGATGCCCTCCCGCGTGCAGCTCTTGGCTCACGCTGGACTGCAGGGCGGCGGGAGTCAGCCACTCTTTGGGCAGGCAGCTCTGGAGGAATGGCACGCACGAGCTGAAGTAGGCCAGACGGTTGACCCAGCGAGGGATCTCTCTGCCACACAAGATCTGGGAATGGGAACAGAATTCAATGCTACAAATCCCTGTAACATCTGTACAAACTTGTTTTTACATCTTGGACTATGTTTGAAGGTCCTATATTCCTCTCATGAACTTTAAGCCATGTGAAAATGTTATAACCTCATCAAAAACATACCCTGTGTTTTGTTTTCCTCACACAGGTTTGAGTAATCATTTATTATTACTCTGTCTACATCTATAAACTCAAAATGCTCTGCTCCACCATGTGATGTCATGAAGTAGGTTTCAAGTTGGCCACTCCTTTTTACCTTTAGTTCAGTAGTGACTGGTAATTACAGGGCTGAAATTACCCAAATTATAAAAACACAGTGGAGCACTTCCTGTATTACTACATGACATCACAAGTTGTGATGAGTGTTTTCTGTCTGAAAGAAGAACTCCTAAATATATAGGGTTTGTGTGTTAAACACATGTGAATGAAATAAAACACTACTCCAGGTATGTTTCTGATGAGGAAACAACATTATAGAATAGATCAGAAAACAGAGTAATAAAAGGCCCCTTTAAATATATTCAAGTACACCACCTGCCCCATATGTCATAAATACAGGCCTATAAACTGAGTTATCATTTGAAACCGGCCATAAAATACTATATTAAATTAGATAATGATATCATCACATTTTGGTTTCACATTACATTATAAAAACTGACAAGTAATGAAGACGTACACAAATGATTATGGTTCCAGTTAGTAAGAATAGTGTAGGAGAAGAAGTGAATATCATTATGTGTGGAGCTGAATTTAAAGCATGTGGCCACAACATCCTGATTTTGACATTGCCAGAAAAATAACTAACAGAATCCCAAATGTGAAGCCTTTGTATGTTTTTACTCACTTGCTGTGTTTAATGACGCCAGTTATTTCCTGCTCTGACAGTGTTATTATCACATTACAGCATAAAGAAGCTTTCCCAAATACAAACCCTGCATTTTAATTAAACATCAAAGCTACTGACAGACTGAGGGCTTTCTGAGGATCCAGGAGGAAGGACCCCAATTGAACCACAATAAGGCTTAATAAGCACTGGTGACATGTTTTGCTTCTTCGTGTACACAAACAGGCAAGTAGTAATCTGTGTAGTTGTAAATGTGTACAAGACAGTAGTGAGACCTGCTGTGGTGCATAACTTAGAAACACTAAAAGACAGGAAGGAAGTCAGTGGTAGAATTAACTTCTCAAGTGGCAAAAATGAAAAGGCTTTGATTAAAGAAGGGAAAACACAATATAATGTTAGATGTTTTGTTGTGAAAGTTATAGGGGTGTGCATATAGGGAAGAAACTGTGGTAAATAATACTAAGGTTGAAGCAGGCATGGAGCAAGATTATCTTCCAGCTAGGTAATCTTGATCATAAACCGAGCTGAAAATCTGAAGGGCAGATTTAAAGAGGAGTTGTGTTTAATTCAGGCATGTTTGACACAAAAATCCTGCATATTTAGTTCTTCTCTCAAACAGAAAACACTCCACCTTGTGATGTCATGTGGTAATACAGGAAACGCTCCACTGTGTTTTTAAATAATAAAAAATAATTTTAGCTCTAGAATTACCAATATCTACTTAACAAAAGGTAAAAGGTAGCGATTAACCACCACTACATAACATCACAAGGTGTGATGTAGATGTAGACATAGGATTGAAGATTTGAGGGTTACTCAAAAATGTGTGAATCAAACAAAACACAACTATAGGTATGTTTCTGATGATGTAACAACATAAAAAAAAAATGGCTTAAAGCTCACAAATAATTTGAATGAAGGTGTATGGCGTATAAAAAACACAGTGTGGTACGTCCTGTATTACCACATGACAGTGAGTGTTTCCTAAGAACATAGCCTAAGGTTAGTTTGTGATTTTGAATGAAACAAAACACAACTCCAAATATCTTTGTGATGAGGAAACAACATTATAACAGATCAGAAAATAGTGTACTAGTAATATGGCCCCTTTAAGGCATTAGTGTCTGAACAGTGTGTGTGTGTGCTTACATGTCCAAGCCTGTGTGCATTTCTTAATCCATGCTACAGACAGTGACAGTAAGATGTGGGCTCATTAGTCACACACTGAAAAGCTGATTTAACACACACAGAGGTAGTAGAGCTTTGATAAAAGAAAACTGTATCATTTTGCACATTTGTATCTAGTGTAGCAAAAGTAGTCAGGTGCCTTCAACTGTGTATTAGACCTGTCACTATAACACATTTTGAAGAATGATATATTGTCACAGAGATATACTGCGATAAAAGATAATACTGAAACTACTTTAGGGCTCTGTCACAAAGCAGAATAATAAAAGTAAACACATTTTTATATACAGTATCATTAAAAAGCTGAGCTGCAACAAATAAATGGCAGACTGAACTAATAATTAGTCATAGAAGTTATTAAGTTATTAAGTTTACCATCTACACCTTAAATCTTCCATATCTTACATAAAAATGGTGAAAATCTCCCCACTATTGCAAAGAAATTGTACACCCAATAGCATGTCCCAAAATATATTTTACAAAATCGAGTAATTATCGTGAAAACACACATACAAAAAACATACAAAAATAAGTATTCAGAATTCTAATTTTGAGTAACTATTCTGCTAATATCAAGTGAGCACCCCCTTGGAAGACCTTAGCAGCCCCTTAGCCTCTCCAACAATAAATGTGACTAGGCCTGTCATGACAGACCTTACCACTGTGTTCCCCCTCGTCTTAAAACAGCTCATTTCAGCTCTGTGTGAGTGCAAACAAACCTCGGACAGAGATGAGGAGAAGTGGTTGCAGTTCTTGTGCATGAGATGGTAGGCATTGCCCTTGAACTCCTTCCCCATCTCTTCCACAATCCGCTCCACATCCTCCTCTGTGAAGTCTGTGGTACCCAGAAGGATGGCCTCTCTGTACACACAAGGTGGTTAACAGTCAAAATAAACAAAAACTACATAAAACACAGAGAGTAGTACGTAGCATTCATAGACAGTATATGGACAGAGCTAACCCGCTAGCCACCACGTTCCAAAAAGGAAGTGATCATGGGGGTGCTTCCGGCTCTGGCTCCAGTTGACTTTACACTGAAAAATTGTCACGCCTCTCTCTGTAACTGCTGTGGTGAGCCTCTTTATTTTGGTCTTAAAATGTTTATATTAACTAGCTCTACATGATCATGGTGTTTTTCTTTTACTATTTTGTCCGTTAATACATTCCTATTCCTAATATGGAACTGGCTCCAAATTCTCTCCTATAACAGCTAGCCTCGTGAGCTTCATTTGACTGAAGCCAAATGCTATGGGTGACATCACACTCCCTAAGTCCACTTCTTTATACAGTCTATGGTAGCATCATTAGCACTGATTCAAAAATATATGTACAACGAATCACAGTAGGATTCCATTAGCTGCCATATACTTAGATACTAACACCACTTATTTTTTGCTGTAGAATCTGAGAGCCTAGAACAAGGATCTGATTCAGTTGTATACAAGAAGTTATTTCAACTGTGAAAAAATAAGTCTTCTGACAATGTACATTTCTTATCTGGGGACACTGCCAAATAAGATTTCTGAAATATTTGACAAAGTTCCTTCACACTACATCTTAAAATGACATGTTTGGGCCCTCACTGCCCAAAGCAGCAGTATTTCAATACAATAACTGGTTGTTTCATAGCTCACAAACCTGCAAAATGAAATGTGATTATTCATATCCCTGTACACTAAAGTTAAACATCTATATTTTATCTTGTCAGTAGTCTCACACAGACACACACACACCCACACACAGCAACGTTGTGAGGTAAAATCCTCTTCTGTGTTTTGAGTATTTTCAGGGAGAGCCCAGAGCCACAGGGCAAATCAACTAGAGCAGAAGTAACCCAAAGCTCCACTCAGATGAATGTAGGAATCCTCACATATATTGAATTATACAGTCTCCACATTCATCCAGACCCAGAAATACCAGTGAAAATCAATGTCTACTGTAACACTGCTGGCTCATGGTCAGGGCAGATTTGTTACAGCACTAGTCAGAGAAACAAAGTCGACAAAAATAACTATAAAATTCCTAACCTCTTTGGGGAAGGTAACTTGTGAAGCATTATACCGGATATTTTCTTCAAAAATGTATTCTTTAATTTATTCTTTTTGCATGCACACATTCTGTATTCTGTCTGAAAATTATCCACTGACCAAGAATAATGAACTGTGAAATTAAATCATGCTTCTCCACATGTTTTTCCAGATATTTTAGTCAGATGAAACTGGAGTTGTAGTTAGAATTCTAAAGTAGCTCTAACTTCAAAATACAAAATAATTTCATGAATTAATGTAACTTTTCATATTAGAGCAATTAGGGTGAAATTGCATCATGCTTCTCCACATGTTTTTCCACATTTCAGTCCAATGAAACTACAGCTATGAAGCATTCCTTTAGAATTTAAACTTCAAAATACTAAATATTTTGATGAATTAATGCAACTTTTCTTATTAAAGCATTTTCAGGTTATAGGCAACTGGTATTTGTTATCATTCAGGTCAAAATATAATTAACCAAAAAAAAAGAAAGAAATAAATTTTGGTTCCATAAAAATAGTGATATTATTCAGCATTTGCACCATGTAATTCACAAATGAAAGACAATGGCACCAGAACTCACTTGAATTTGAACGTGTCACCGAGCTCCATTGCATCTCCTGGAGTGATCTCGAAAATTCCTGAGAAAGGGTACGGGTGTCCGCCATAAGCAAACTCTGACAACACATTTGAGAAAAAAATGCTTTGATCATACAAATAATAAATACTACACATATCATGGCATTTTGTATATTTTCAGAATAACATACCTCTTCCATAGATCTCAACCCCTGAGTGAAAGACCCCGATGCCCAGAGAGGTGGTGAACTCATTGATCCAGTACTGCAAAAAGACATGAAAAAATATAAGTAAGAGTACATATTCTTTGTACAATATGAAAACTGGTAGAGAATGTGTGGAAGGTAATGTAAATTCATGTTTTAGTTATGTCATAAACCAGAATGAAAGGTCAGGATCCCTGTGACAGTGTGGTTTACACAGATCACTTACACAAAGATTTGCTCCTGAGGAAACGCAACCAATCAATAATTGATCACAGCATCTCTGATCCCTGGTGTTACCTTCCACCTTTAAGTTTTCATACAAAGCTGTGCGGAAGCTCATTGGCTGGACTGTTGCTAGGCAAAACTACTAAGGTATACGTTTGCAAACTTAAAATTTCTACTTCCAAAAGAGTTTATTAATACACCTTCTGGTGTTTACCTATCTGTAGTTTATGTGTCGATGTTTATGTGTCAGTGATTCATTTGCAATGCACAAAGCTGTAGCAGATAGAGAGCAGGATTGTCCAAAAATATCCAGATAATGAATACTAGGACTAGGTACTCAATTGTACGTGTATGTAATTGTAAGATTGCAAGATTAATACAAAAAAAAAAAAAAAAAACATACATAAGAAAAGTTGACCTTGATCTTGTTAATTACTCTTTATTATATTATTGGTTAAAATAATATATTTTAAATATTAATCATCATTATGTTAGGAAGTACTGAGCCTTGTGAAACTGAATTTGAAATATTTGTATTGTCTTGTATTGTATTGTGTGTGTATTGTGACAAGACTAGACTCTAAAAATAACTAATTGTAGCATATCTGTGACGAAGCTCTTTGTTAGATCTCCTCGTCCTCCTACTCAGAGGTGAAATAAGACTCTTATCTCAGACCTCATTACTTCAAAGCTTGTTAAAACTCTCCTCTGCCTCAAAGCCACAGAAGAGGAGTGTGTGCAGGAGAATAGTGGTAAATTAATTTCAGCTTGTGAATGACAAAACACATATTTTCAAATTCACAATACTGATATAGTTATAGACCAGTATGCAGTAAACACAATCACAAATAAAATGTCTTAAAAGAGAGTCACTGAGAACAAAACTAAAGTCACAAAGGAAGGAAACTGATGCAGAGCAAGATAAAAACAGACATGAAATTAGGTGTTGGCAATATGTTACACTACAGTATCAGGAAATGCTGGCTTACTTGTAAATCTTAGCTAATACAGTATAGCTATAGTCTCTTACTGCCAAAGACATAATTCAAATCCCCTTTTCACAACTGAACAATGCTTAATTTGCATTTGTTTACTTGTTTTTGCAATTATGGTATTTGTTTCTTTATTCCAGTTGTCTAAACTAATGTGTTCTGTATAGAATACAGGTCAACACACAGCAGTGAGGCCTGATATACAGTATCTTCTTGTTCTTTTGTCCACACATCTGGTTGGTAACAATGCAGTCCTAGTGCAGTTGGGGGGGCAGATATAGAGTCACTGGGGCAGATATATAGTCACTAGGGCAGGTATACAGTCACTCGGGCAGATATAGAATCACTGGAGCAGTGACATGGAGCATGGGGGCAGACAGGTGAGGCGAAGGTAATGTTGTCTCATTAAAGGACCAGGCTTAAGCACTCAGAGCTTGACAGGAAATCCACTTAAAGCAGCACAGTGCGAAACTCAGCAACAAAATGGCATGGGACCATAATGTAAATGTTGTATCTCAATTATCATGGTTTGCTTGCGATAGACAATAATATCAAGCAATTATTAAAATTGCAGTCACTTGTATGGAAAATGAATAGAAATATTCTCAAATTACTACATGGGTCAGTTAAAAAGGCATTCTCTTATTATGATCTAGTTCTGTGTTAAAATAACTATTATAGAATTTTACTTTGTTGTAGCTTTGATGTTCGTTTTGTTTGGTGGTAATGACTTTTATGTTTGTTGGAAATTATCACAATTATACAAAATGTGCTTTGACAGATAATTAGGCCTGTCACATTAATTACTATACCGGCATATCGTTTAATACATGCGAGATGGAACAATAATTTTTGAGGGTCAGTATTTATTGTCAGTAATTTTTCTTTGCACTGACGGGGAACATTTTCTTATTTTTCTGTTCTACGATCAGATTTCATTGGAGCTGGAGAGAGTTGAAGAACTTCCATGACTCATTATAGAGATAAAACAACTACTAAAGTGTTTCATTCTGCTATTTATTTATTGCAATTTGTGTTTTTTTAACCATATTGTAGGTTTAGAATAGTTTTTGGTAATTTTGTTTTACGATGAGTAAATCAGTGGCATAAATTAGTTTCAATATTCTTATTTATCATCTATATTTTCTGCATATTATTATTATTATTATTATTATTATTATAGCGTTCTCTTTTATTCACAGTCAGCGATAGTATTCTTTATTGTTTTATCCCTACAGCACAACAAGGAGGAAAACCAAGGGACCATCTCAATATCGTCAGTAGCATCAGTCACTATTGATCCACAAAATGAGTGAATCAGCCTCTGTATCAGCTCATTCACCAGAGGGAAGTTTGTGCTTGACCTTGATGGAAGATTTTCTGTGTTTAAATAAATGCTGCAAACACCAAATGAGCTAGAATAATTTCCACACTTCCCTAATGGTTCAATAATAATCAATGGAGCTATAATTTTACCTGGAAAGCTCCAAAACATGAAAATATATCCATTAAAATAAACAAGATAGTAACGCCACAAGGTTGATACTGGCCAGATGAAAGACGGTTCAACTCACTGTAATATTTAAGCAATAAAAACACCTATATTTGTATAAATGAAATACAAATATGTTTAATGCTATACTGTGGAGCATTTCAGGCAAGACAATAACATCGCAGCAGACCAGCAGGTTAAAAGTAAAGGAAAAGTTAAACATCGAAATTAAGGTAAATATAGATTAATTATAGTATTAAACATTTAATCTAGAACCAATCCTCCAAAAGGAAACCCCATCAATACAAATTAAATAAGGCAGTGTATAGTGAGCTTCCCTGCACTAATAGTATTACTAGGTCACTACTACTGCAGCCATTCATAAGAGTCAGAGTGGGGCAGATAAAAGCCCTGCAGTGTGTGGAGAAGAGAGAGAAGAGTCTAGTGAACATAGAGGAAGTGAAAGAAGAAGGGAGGAGACAAAAGACAAGGAGAGGAAGATGAAAGAGAAGCATTAGAGCATCAAACTGTGGAGGAGGGGAGAGGTCAACGCTATAACATCTGTAATTGAGGCTAGATGATCCAGTAAATGATGTAGTATTAAACATCTTTTGGGAAAATCAACCTACACCAGTTTACTCAAAAATAACAACAACTCATGTTTAATTTCTATTCAGTTTTTATTTCTCCCTTTAAATTGACCATAATATAGGCTATAATAATACCAGTGTCTCCTGATGACAGTACTGCACTGATGACTACACACTGACTCAAAGATGACCCACTACAGTCAAACACAAAGAGCTGTAGATGTTATCAAACCATCTGCTGGCCTGGGACACCTGACCACTGTTTTAGCTACAGCAGCTTAAAACCAAAAGAGGTGACTGCTTGGTTTCATTTATGTCCTTATATCGGTATAGTCAGTTAAAGTAAAGATAATCTATACAGCCCTAGTAGTTATAGCATTTCCTTTTGGCAGGAAATCTATAAGCCTATTGTTAATGTGCATGCTCTCTTGCAATATTGTGTAAAATACTATCGAAAGTTAATTTCACATAGATTACAGAGGATCAGAGAATACTGTTGTGGCAGTGACAAAGACAATGAAAGGAAAGAAAATGTTAGGACTAATACAATATTAGTGAAATTGTGAAGGTAAATGATCATAAGGGTTTTACATAGGCATGGGCTACTCATAATATATTTGGGTCACTTCATATTTTATGTGTTGTTGCTCATTGTCATTATAATAATAAAATTTGTTATGAAAGAAATCAAAATATAAACTGAGCACGAGGTTCCCCTTTCTTGCAAAATTGCACACAGAAAAATGTGAAATGTGTACTGCAATCTGAATAAATACGAAAAAAAAAAAAAAACTAAACAAAACAACACGTTAAAATCAAGTATTATACTACTAACCCTTTATATTATCTTACCATATCATAGACATTGAGTATTATCGGCTCGCTTGCCATCACTGGGATCAGACTTCCTCTACGGCGCCTCCAGAAGCTTCACCTCGGCGACAGATCCAAACTTATGCGCCCAACAAAAATAACCCCAAGCTCGGTCCCCAGTCCTCGCTTACGCCTGGGCAGATCGACAGTCCAGCTTCATAGCCAGATGTGAAAACGCCAGAGATCCGCGAACGATCAAGCGGTCCAACAACATCTGACTGCTTTGTCTAAATCTCCCTTAGAAACAAAACAGATGAGACTCTTGTCAAAATCACTTAAATCCGTTCAGCCGCAAGGGTCTAAGGTAGACAAAATCGAAAAGTATTTATTTCCACATTTACGAACATTTTGATATTTTACGGCCAAGTGGCGTCTTTTTGTTATGGATAAAAGAGATTGCTTCGACAAAAAAGCAGCTAACTCCTTTGAAGCCTAGCTAGGGGTTGCGCTCGGGCAGGATCATGGGCAGGATGCGATACAGTAGTGAGAAAGAGAAAGCGAGTACGAGCGCTAAGCAGATCGACGATTCTGGACTCCATTAATCAACCTGGGAAAGATTGGTGCATTATGGGTAATGTAGTTTCTATGGTTTACAAGCCAGGCTAAATAAGCACATAGGCCTACTTTATATAATTCATTTTTTATTAATTATATTAAGATAAACAAATGAATAGGCCATGTAAGCTATATCCAATGGATGCATTTTCAACCTTGATCATTATCTCCCAACAGTTCTAAGAGAGCCTCCTGGTTTGAAAAGTCTTGCAGTGATGAATTCATCTCATCCAATAGATCCTCTCCAAGTAGAAAACTCTTTAAGTCATGCAGTGTCATGCCAATGCGGTGGTCAGTTATGCGATCTTGAGAAAAGTTGTATGTCCGAATCTTCTCTGACCTACCTTTTGTGCCAACCTAAGAAAGCACAAAAACTCTGATAAACATAGTAAGTTAGCAAATACTCTCCCGTATTCCACCCAAATAGTTTCACCTGTATTTTACGCTGCTGGTACCGTTTGCTGGTCTCTTCCTCTAGTTTCATACTGTACAGCTTGGCTCGAAGGACCTTCATGGCTGTTTCTTTATTTTTTATCTGGGACCTTTCCTGCTGACATTCTGCAACGACACCTTAAAAAGGAAAGATACATTTTGTAAAGGGTTATACATACATAAAAACTGACTTATCACAGTGACTCCAGTGTTTATGGATTTACCTGTGGGCATGTGGACTATTCTAACTGCACTGTCAGTGGTGTTGACATGTTGACCTCCTGCACCACTTGCCCTCTTAGTTTCAATCTTCAGATCTTTGGGGTTTATGCTGAAAGAGATCTACAGACACACAAGAGCAGATGTCATAGTACATACATACATAGTACATGATCATACTCATGGAGGCAGATAATGTCTCAAAGGTGATCCTCATGTTTCTAGAACTCTTAAATGTTTTTATACAACACTTACCTCAGTGGGTTGTGGTAGTACAGCCACAGTCATAGTGCTGGTGTGCATTCGTCCTTGTTTCTCTGTCTTGGGAACTCTTTGTACTCGATGGACCCCCGCCTCAAACTTCATTTTCTTATAGCACTGCTCACCACTAACACTGGCCGAAGCACGGCGCACCCCTCCTATGAAGCAAGTTAAAAGTGGAAATGTGTTATTATATATTTCATTATTGTTATTTAGAACAACTTAAAAGAGGACACATATTTTCCCTCACTGCCACTAACCTAAATCACTGCTCATATACTCCAGGACGTCAAAAGACCAGCTGTGGTAGTGAGCAAAACCCTGGTACATGTCAAACACCTTTGGAAAAAAAATCAGTGTCATTATTACTACTAATATGTAATTTATTTTGAAAACATTCATATATATATAGATAGCATAAGCATGTTCTTACCTCAGCAGTAAACAACATAGCTTCCTGGCCCCCTACTCCGGCAGTGACTTCCAGGACTAGGTCAGTGAGGTCTGCATCCTCCTCTGGTATCAGCAGATCCAGGATCTGATAATGCATTTTGGGTGTTACGGTGGCTGCAGTTACACACACACTCAAAATCTGATTATTACCAGATTTTTGGAGTTAGTTTTTTTTTCTGATCATGGTCCCTCAGATTACTCACATCAGATTGTGTGGTTTGTATGTCATGTCATTTAAATAATTTTAAAAGGTCCAGAAATCAGTTAATTGGTTTTTAATGTGCATGTAAACTTGTTCAGTGTTTTATTACTCTCACACTTGTGTGGTCACTTTCTACCTTTTGTCTGAAAGCTTGAATGTCCTGTAAACAGGCTTCTCTCTCCTGCTCTGCCAGTTGTCTGAGTGTTTGATCTTCATCTGTAAAACACAGTGAAACTTCACACCTGTCTCATGGTACTTTTACAAGTCTCTGTAGGATCTGTGACATAGAACCATTGGTCTGCCTCACTCACCTTTGAGCAGAACCTCTGTTTCTGCCATCTCTTCTTCTTTGGCCCTCAGTTCTTTGATGCTCTGTATGACCGGACTGAGGCGGGACACTTTGGTTCGCTTGGCTCTTTGCTCTTCCTCTCCTTCTTCTATCTCATTATTGTTGACTGCATTTAAACAGTCATTGTACTCATTCTCCACCTGTTTGAGATAGTCTTGGAGGGATGTTCTGGCAAAAATCTCTTCCAGGGAGAGAACCTTGGGCCCCAGTAGTGATGCAGTGGTACTTAGAGTTCTCTTGGACATCCCATTAAAAACAATACCATGCAGTAACCGCCCATCTAAAAACCCTCTTCTCCTGTACACTTCACGGTGTATATTTTGTAATGAAGGCTTCAATACAAGCTTGAGTGTTTGAAATAAGGATGGGTAACTTCTCCAAACCATTTTACAATCGCTAAAACTACTTTCAACAAAATAAATGGAGCAACTGACGTCCAGAGAAACTTAATAGAGCAATTTTAAATATATTTTACATAACAATTCAAGAATATAATGGAAGTGAGCTATTTTCTGATTTTGTCTGGGTTCATTTTTGGGTGTGCTACAACTTTCTAAATTCAATATTACCGACAAAAAGATAAAAGATAAAATTAAATATATTCACGTCGTTGTTGTCACAATCAGGTTCCGTTATTAAAGCCCGTTTCACAAATACGTTTCTATTTACCAGGTTGCTGAAGGGCGCTGACATATTGGATGCACTCCGCATGCGCAGTGCGTGCAAACACGTTTTGCTTTATTAAGCAGGGACTGACCTCTATCGGAAAAGAAAATCTGATTAATGCAGTGGACATGGAAATTTAATGCAGCATATGTTAAACTCCACTTTCTGCAACAACTAAAACAAGATTTTTTTTGTTACCGCCCCCACTTTATTGGTTCACAGAAAAATGTAGAATGGGGTGCCTCTGCTGCTTCTCTAAAATAACATCTACATTTGTGCATGGATACAGTCAGCATTAAATGTTAGACTTGCAAATGCGATTGGAATCATCACATTGGCACCTAGCCGACATTTTCGTACTACTACAGACTTTCAGCACTTTAAAAACATCTTACAATACAACATTACAGGGCCTATAATGATCCTAGATAGCTTGAACCTTCACGGCACAGTGTATCTAGTTTCATGTGACATGCCTACGGTTTACACCAAGCCAGATCTGGGGGTTTCAGTGGTTGGGTTATCACGGATAGGTTCTTCAAATTCCACGCTGAGGTGTTATTTCCCACAGTGCAAGCTTCTAAAGCCTTCTCCCCACCCCAAGAGTCGCCTCTGTTAGGCAAATTACCTCAGATTTTCACTCAAATAACTGTCGTTTAATATAATTAGGTGCTGGATCTTAAGGCTTGCACACAAATGTAGAATAATCTATCAGAAAAAAGGTAGCCTAATTAAAACACAATTAAAGTATGAACTATTGCTGTATATGCAAAAATATAGCGATTTTATAATAACATGTTTATTGATAATGTGAAAACGATTATAATATAAAGGCACGCATTGCTACACACTGCAAAATGTATAGTACATAGACTACATAGTATACTACTATGGATCTATAAAAATAAGTATATATACTACATACACATCTACTACATTTCAGATCAGGAGGGAAAAGGAGAAAACCGGCGGCACTACGCCGAGTGCGCGTTGACGTCACCAGCAGCGTGTTTACGAAACTATCCCCCATTTGCTAAAAAATTAAAACGACGCAAAGGGATTGGTTTGCGCCTTTTGCGCACGGATTTTAAAAGAGTTCCTCATACTGGCGGATTTTTTCAATTGATTTCCAGAGGCGAAGTCGACATCAGCTGAATTAGTTCATTCTCTTACTCATTTGGAGGGAAAAGTTAGTGGATTAGCTGCACAGTGTTATCAGGTAAGAGACCACTGAATATATGTAGTTATGCTGTGCTATGCATGTATCGTAGGCTTTACTTTTGGCGTCGATTAGTTTTTAAAATTTTCCATTAATTCGTATTTATTCATTTTCACATCTAACAAAATCCAACATCTACCAACACACAACAACTCCTTGTTTGGCGTTTTGAAGTTCTTTAAGTACAACTCTTTGATATTTTGGTTGACGTAAATTTACGTTACGTGGTTTACACACTGCCGCCTAAATGTCACAACTCCTCACCAAATATTTAGATTGTAGAATTTCACCAAACGCTCATCGTAGACCATTAGTGTAACCCGACTTTATATTTGAAACACAGCTTTTGATGTGTTTCATACTCTTCCCACAGCAGGCTCAACATGAGGATGTGGGATCTCATTTACATATCCGCCAAATGTATACCGCGCCAAATATTAATTTGTGAATGTCTGAACAGTGCTTACTCCCAAGTCATGATAATACACTAAAAAAAGAGTCTTTATTAAATTATGCTTTCTTCTTTGGCTTTCTTCTTTGGGCTGAGACTAAATTGTAACTAAAGTGGTCTTAATTTTATTGTTCACCAGATTAAACCCCATGTTTTTCCTTTCCAGGGATTCGTAACTCAGGGAATATGACTTGCCATAAAAAAGCCAACATGAAGGTTCCCAGCTATGAGCCGTCATGGCCCAACACTGTAGGTAAAAGCTCTGCTGTAGACTGCAAAGTAATGCAGCTCCATGCCTCCCCAGTTAAGGAGCCTATTGTTTTCAAAGCCCCTTTACCCACTGTGGATGTGACCACAGTGCACTCCCAAAACGACTACACAAGAGCTGTCCACAACAAGGAAAATGCTGTTAGCAGGGACCATGACAAAACACTGGACCAAGGTCTGGAGGACAGTGGTTATCTCTCTCTGCACAACAGTCGCATCGAAGAAGAGGATGACAAACATGTTACACCCAAACCATCTCCAATCAAATGTCAAGAGACAAACACATCTCAGTCTCTCTTCACTCCGACAGACTTTCATAAGAAGAGAAATGTCACATGCTCAATGTCGTCCACACCTGCTGACCACCTCCATAACTCCAAACTGCCAATACTAAATTTTAATCAGGTCGTGTGCGAGAAACTCTCAAAAAGCTTTCAAAAGAATAAAAGGTATTGCGTACATTTTAGACAGAAATATTTACAAACTGTCAATATTCCTTTCCTCAGTATGTTTAACTTATTATTTTTTTGTAGGTATGACTGGAGCATCATCTCAAAGGTAGCAGAAGATCACAATTTAGATCGGGTAATTGGAGGTCATATGGGCGTCGACCATATAGATATGTTTTCATCTTTGCTGTCCAGAAACATGAGATGCATTCTGGCTCAGATTCTGGCCTTGCTTGGAGACATGGACCTTATCAGGTAATTTAAAGCAGCTAATGAGGTAAGCAATATGTTAAACTGTTTCTCAACTTTACTGAAAACATTTATATTCTTCAGTTGCAGGAAAGTGAGTAAGACATGGAGAAAAATCATCCATGAAGATTCAACAGCTCTGAAGAGATGTCAGCAATTGGAGAAGGTGAGAGTAAATGCAATTCTCACTGAAATTATTGGATGTATTCATAAAATATTAATTTCTTTAAACATCAAATAAATGAACAATATCATTATGCAGTATCATTATATTCTTGACCATTTTGTGTTTGTTTAGGAGTCTGAACTCTCTCAGAGATTGGCCTCTGGTCTAACCAGAGATGTGGGTGTATCCAGAGTCGTCCTGTCCAGTATGCAGCGTTTGGCCTCCTCCAGCTCATCCTCTCAGCTCTCCCCTGCACCACTCCAAAGCTTCAGAAATAAAGGAAATTCATCATCAAATGCCCAAACACCAAACTGTACACGCTTCAGTCAATATGTAGAGGTAATTATTGATGCATACTGATCTTTGACATAATTTTAACATTTTAGGATGGGTTTGTAACTTGGATGTTTCCTTCTTTAGGCTGCTAGCACTCTGAAGCAGTATGAGTCCCTGCGTCCCTGTAAACGCTGTGGTTCCCCAGCGACACACTCACGAGTGGCTCAGAGGGCGACATGCACCAGGTCCAGTTGTCTGTTCGACTTCTGCACGGGCTGTCAGGAGGCCTTTCATGGCTCCACGCCCTGCAGGGTGGTGCAGCCGCGTTCACACACATCCAAAAGCTCCACTCTTCTCCCAGGAAGTGCCAGAAGCAAGAGAAATGTCCGGCGCCTGTGAAAGAACTGATGGATGAAAATGTGCTTTTAGACAAATCTCACTTGGAACTTGTCCGGCAAGCTTTCTAATACTGAAGACTGTTGCCAAAGTACAGCGTTAAAATGAGTCTAAGATCCATTTCAAAACATTCATGGACTTCTCAAACAAAGACTGAAAAAGCACTTTCTTAGACAATCAATAAATGTGAATACTCCTAGTGAGTAATGGACTTTCCTAAAAAGATTTTAACTGAAAAAAGAAAATGCAGACCAATTCTTGTTGCTATATATTTTATTACTACATGTAAATAAGTTTTATATGGTTTTATCCATTTTAAATAAATCTTGATGTCTGTTTCTACTATATTTATACTTTGTGTAAATACAGATCTTTCACATACTGACTCCTGTCAGTTTCCTTCTTACAGCTGTGCGTATGACAGGAAATGACTGAATTCTAAGTTGTAACATGTTTGAAATGTCACAAGAGGGCAGTGTTTACTCTATTTGTGCTTTTAGTGAAGGTGTAGTTTTCTATTTTAATTAAATTTAATTGTTTGTTTCCACATATCCACTATCTTTTGGAAACAACATTGTCTAGTCTGACCCTGAAGATGTTTCATTCAATTTCCATCCATATTTCTGTTAGCTGTCAGTTTCCTGGGATCCAGAATACAAACCTCTTCAGTACTTTCTTCTTCATTCTGATTATTTTCCAGATTTATTACTTTTTCTTTTTAACTTAATAGGAATGAATAGGAAAAAATATTTAAATTTAACTACAACTCAAATGTGCAATGTCAGTTAAGTTTTAAAGCCCCATTGTAATGAGTATTTGTACAAGAGTAGTATAAATGTATATTTTACAAAGTAACAGTCCTACATCTGAACCAACTGCTTTGTGAAGGTGCAATGTGCAACTTTTCTAGTGGAGTGTCTGCTACTTGTTTCCAAGGAGATGCTATTGCCTTGTTCCATAGTATGACTTTAAACATATACAATCTTCCCACTAGAAATGTTACACTGTGCGCCTTTATTTGTTTCTTTTTTTACCTTAAGTCAGTTATTGGTCAACTCAGACTATATTCGAATTGTTACAGAAACATCCTTTAGTATGTGTCCTCTGTCTATTTAAAATATCTGACATGGAATCTCCAAGGAACTTCAGCACTGAATGAACCCCCAAATGTGTCCCAGTGATTAATCTGCACTGTGGCCTTTATCCTCTTGACCATTTGATTTATCTGGGAGATTTATTGACTGCCTAGTCTTGTGTCTTGTCTAACCTCTTAATTGTTAGACGCCGCACTTCTGGCACTATTTTTAGGTTACCTCTTTACGCCTCTGATTCATAAATTCTCAAACTTTTTTAGATTACCCAGTTTCTGTATTTGTCATTCGCATCAGCCTAAGGAGACAAAACATCCGGTTTAAATCGTGTGTTATTTGAGGATCTTGATTTAGAGTGACTGTCTCTGTATGGCTCATTTAACTTGTCAGTCAGAAAATGTCCAGTAAAGATTGCTCTTGAGCTAGCAGTAAGTAAATCAAATATAGATTTAAAGAGTTTTTGTGTCTGTAAGGTGTCTGTAACAGAGCATAGGATAGGGGATTTTGGACTATATGTGACACTAAGAGCCTGAGTTAATATAATTGACTACCTGTCTCTTCAACTATGATTTCTCTAACATTCTTTGCCAAAATACACTTTGACACTGATATCAACCAATATCACAGCAGAGTCTAAAAAGAGCATTTATTTCCTTTAAACAAAAATAACATGAGACAAAACTAATCCAAATGTGTTATGTAGCTGAGATTTATTTCTGAGGAAATGACAGAACAACTTTGTATAAGTAAAAATTCAAATATTATGAGTCTTTCTGGGCCAACTACAGCCAGTAAAGTCATATTACATCAATTTATCTGTCCAAACAGGATATCGACTGAACCAAAATTTGGAAGCCATATTTGATACAGCAAATTGTTCAGTATCATCACCGAAATTCAAAAAATAAAATAAAATAAAATATGCACTTCCAAACCTCTCTGATACTTTAAGTGCAGCTATTACCATTTGAGGAGCTAATGCTTGTGGTCAAAGCCATTTCTTCTCATTTGTCTCATATACTACAACTGACAGGATGTTTAGTTTTTAACATCCCACACTTTTATGGCAATGTCATGGCAAGGTTAGGTCAAAGAAAATCTACATTTTTAGTGTCAGTCTGGAATTGAACAGGAGATATTACCAGTATCTAAAACCAAATTATTAATTTCAATTGGAGCAAGAAATATGGTTGTAATGCCATGGAACTTGGAGTTTGAAACTTTGGAGATTTGATTAAAATCTACAGACCTATAAATTTAGTTTTATTGTTTTATGTATTTTTAAGCTTTACAGTTGGGCTATTATTAAGTATAGGACTCAAATTCACCATGTTTAAATACATTTTCACACTGATAAACATATGGATTAATACATAGAAACACATTGTGGCTGGTGTTAAAAGGTTGCCAACCTCTCCAGGTCTATTTTTACTCTGTTTGGTCCATTAAGATCAGCAGTGATGAGAGTTAATGAGTGAGGCCTCTCCAACAGCAGCCGCAATCACACAGGTCTGGGGGAGAGGACCTGCTCTCAAACAACACAAGAAATATTTCAATCAAATAAAACCATTGCCCCTAAAATATGTGTCTGACCCAATAACAGCCATCCAATATTAAACATTGTGATTTTAAATGTGGATAGTCTTTGATGGTGTCATAATATGTCCTCATCATGAACCATTACAATTCACATACAATTTTTTTTCTCCAATAGATGTCACTTTAAACATTTTTTATAAATGTTAAACTTTGTGGTCAAACATCAAAAGTGCTTAAGCTGTGATATATATATACATATTTTAAAAGTAAAACTAAGATCTGCAGTGACTTGACAAGCACGCTATCAAAGGGGTGACCCCTTTAAAAGAGTGAACCTTATCACAAACTGAGGTGCAATCAAATATTACAGTGACACTTTTCAGCATACAGCACAGGAGCCTTGAAATCACCCTATAATCCTGTCCTATATGGTGTCCATGAACATATACATGTTCTTTCTATTTATAAAATCCCTCATTATGGCCCGTAGGAGCATTGCTTATGACATTTATGAGTCAAATCAAAGGTTTTCTGACACTTGTAAACAACGTGACTCACTTTGGAGCCATTAGCCATGTCAGACCCCCTGTCCTATTTTAAATGGATGTGTTGTAACTTCATTACATTTTTCATGTTCATTTGTAAGGCTCTTCACAGCATTTTCTCCACACCTGAGTATGGTTACTTCTAACTGAATAGAAGCTCTCTTGAAGATACTCTAAGTTGTTAAAGAGATTATTTGGAGTTGTTATTTACTTAGAGAAAAAAACCCAAACACACAGGCTTAAGCCATTTTCACATTTTGCCAGTAAACATAATCTCTTATGGAGCCATTATAGATCATTGGTGGATGTGGAGACTTTTATATCAGCGAGAGGTCTGCTAATGGTACACAACAGTGAAAAGCATGGCCAGTGGATGCAACGTCACCCAACCCACTGTATTAGCTAGCAGCTGAAAGACCTGAGGCTGTACGAAAGTCTAACCAAAATGTCTACAGATCTGTAAACTGTACCTAATATTTTAGTTTGAATTTTTGCAACATGTTTTATTGGAACATCTATTAAATGTACAGCTCAATGCAATAACAGAGCAGTATAATACAAATGCAAATTAATTTCAGAAAATATCACACTCTCCATGGTCTTGAAATTTATGTTTTCCCAATATGACGTTAAACGTTGTACTTGCTGATTACACACATGATTACACAGATTATTCAATCTCAATAATTCAAGATATTATTGTCTTTTGGAGTGTATTCCCTTCAAGGTTAGGTCAAAGTTAAAAGGACTTTTAATGGTGCACTTACTTGTTAATGTTTGTGCGTCAGTGTCATCTAACTTAATGTCAATCAGCAGACAGCCATGGGGAGGAAGAGAAGGTCATATGGTGCTTATCCTGTCTGCTTAGCTCATATATGTGTCTAGTCTCATCCATCTTCTTCTGTGGGACAGTTAGTAAAAACCATTTTGTGTGAATTATTTAGAGATTTACCAATGGGAAAAGCAATCAGCCAGACAAAACCACTCAGCTTTGAAAAATAGAGCAAGATCTTTTATTTCTTAGGTAGTGGACATATTTTTTTATGCACTAAAGTCAGGTGTATGCACAGATATAGTTTACAGTATAAAGTGATTAAATGCATCTTCAAAATGTGCTCCCAGAACATGCCACCTTAACACACCAACACAACCTTTTCAGAATTTAAGCAACATTTTATGGAACAATCTGATTTTCAAGTTGATGAGATTCTAGAAAGATCTTCCAGTTGTTCCAGGGCCATTCCTGTTTAGAACCGCTATGCTAATCTTGCCTATTTTTGTATATAGAGTTTGTCAATCTGAGTCATCAGAGTTAAAGTGTACTCTTAATAATTTCTAGTAATGCTTATACTGTGAATATTTTTGTCAGTTTCTTATTTGCAATCTTTCAAAATGTCTCAATTATCACTTATCTCTTATGGTAGTAGTATTTTACAAGCTCTATACATATCCCAGATTCGAAAATTCTACCATTAAGGCCCAAACTGACATCAGGTAACTGGAAATGGTCCTGAAATTAAAGGACAGAAAGGTTAGTGGAAGCATTAGTTTGAGAAAATTATGTCCATTTGTCCAAGTTTCTAAGTGTAAGGGGAAGACACAAAACACTATTCATTCTACATAATTAATAATGCTAATAACGAAAAATGTTTACGTTTTCAGCCATCTGAAACAATGTCAGTAAACCTGTGTTTTAACTCAGTCCAGTTCTGATTAGTGACTCGCTCATGTGGTGCTCAGTGAGACCAGTAGTTTTCAATATTTAGTCTGAACAGATATGTAAAATGGATACAGCAGAAAGAGAGATCACGTTAGCACACGACATTGCCGCTTGATTCGATTTCCAGTTGTCCCCCAGGGTTTCGTTGCCTTTGCTATGATAAAGATTCATGAGGATGACTTGAGGTATTCACATGGACTCCTTCTCAAAGTGGCTGTAAGAAAGATAATAAAAAAAATGTTGTAACAAAGCTTGCATGCAGCATTGTAAAATCACATGTACAGGAGTGGGTGACCTGCGTACCAACTGAAAGTTGTTGATGAAGTGGTCTACGTTAAGGTCATCATAACTTTCCTGGAAGGCTGTGGGTTCACCCCTGGATTCATCGGAGTCACTGCTCACTGGGTCTTCTAGGCTGTCAGTACATAACAACATGTATTTCTATTTTCTATTTTTACTGTGTGTTTTTCCAGTCTTTTGAGATTTGATTCCAGTTTGAGGGGACACATTTGCTGTGTGAAAAAGCAAATGCCTCTATGATTAACATCACTATTTACTGGGCCTGTACATAAAGCTTTCACAGCTAAATCAGAACAATTAAACCAAGGAATAAAACATGTCAAATAGGGCTGCATCATTCATTGCTTTTAAATAGTGCTCCTATGCCAGAAACTTTGAATGTGAATGGAACTTTTACAACTTTACAAAATTTTTGTCATGGTTTGTTCCAAATTGATTAGTTGCAGTAATGGCGTGGGGTAATGGGTAATCTTCTTACCTCCTCTTGCCAGTTAAGACTGAGTTCAAGTATTTCTTGACGGCCATCTGTTTGCGAAAGCGACTATAGTTGTCTGTGAAGATAGCGTCTGTGTGGCGCTTCACTGGCTCCTCCAAAAGCTCATCACTGCACAGGGCCACAGGGTACACAGACAATGGAGTAAACCATCTCATTTGTGCTCTTTTGTGTGTATATATGAGCTGCCCCTCCTCATTGTGCCATAGAGTATAAATTAACCTTTACAATGATTAGCTCTTTACAAAATGCACCATCAACGTCAGATAATAACTTTGTAAATGTCATAAAGTCTGCAGATGTCTACTATGTGATAACATGACAGCGTGCATGGACCAAAATATTTATATTTAAAAGAATAACTGTAACAAGACCACGTCCATGAACGCAGGCTATAGCTATTTAACTAAATAAGTGGATGAAATGTATGAAGGCTATTGAGGTTTTATGTTGTTTTTAAAGCCATATTATTATTATTTCTTTCCCAAGTGTTTCAAGACATTATCTTGACTTGAAAGAACGCAACAAAAAGGAAAAATAGTTTGACATATATTTTACAGTATCTGTAAGTTTTGCGTTTTACGCGCAACAGCGATTCAACGCCACATACCTGACCCTCTTCCCGATGAGAGATTCCAGATATCTCCGCGCTGACAGCTGTCCCAGAAGTTTACTGTATCCACTGGTGAACAAACCGTCCGCGTGTCTCGTCGGTCTAAATGAAGACAAAACATCGTTTTTCATCCCACTTTTCCTGATCTGGCAAAGGTAGTATGTGCTCGCAACGCGTTTTAGACAAACCGCGCTCTTCTCGCCTTTTAAGCGCAACTCAATATCAAGAAACCGAGTTATTTCAAGTCCTATTTCTCACATAAACATTTTATGACGTTCTCCTGCTACAATTTGTCAAATTTACAAACTAATCTAATTAAAAGATGAATATATAGTCTATTGCGCTTTTCCAAAAAATACTTGATGCATCTCCAAGTTGTGATGTTTGGACTCCTCCCGTCTCTGGATGGGCGCGTGCATATGCAAAAATCTACCAGAACACTCGTTCACAAATATTCCACCTATACATGCGCTGTGTGTTTAGTGTTTCTTGTGTAGTGCTTCTTGGTGCGCTTACCTCATAGACGCGTATGGGAGACTCAAGGTGCGGGAATATAACACACTGCACAGGGCTATTAGAAGCAACAGCTGGGGACCGGTCCGCTGTGACATTGTTTTACACCTAAAGAAAAATAGTTTAACAAGTTTACAAATAATTCAGTTTTACATTCTCCATTTTGTCTTGAACAAAGCACATGTCCAGTGAACTATTGCGGCTCCAAATGTTGAGACTGAGTTAAAACTGAAAGCAACAAAAAATAAAAATATGTAGGCTGCAACAGCGCGTGTTGCTGTTGCTGATCTTTGGTGTAGGCTTCCGTAAGATAAAAATCTATTTTAGACACTAATAGAAATAGTATATGTTCGATCATATCCATCCCACTGTAATACTGTGTAAAATGTTGAAAAATCGACTGTGCGTGTTTTGACACAAACTGTATCTTCTCCAGAAAAATAACAGACTCAATCTAATACACTTTCCCGTCTGTGAGAGTTATATTCATTAAAAGTTCAGAGACTTACATGTAGTTTGGCTGTTCTCAGATGGGCTATGATAGCGTAGTTTGCTGGTGCTGTCCAAGGTGCTGACTCTACTGCCTAATAGCTCCACTCCGTTGGTTTGACGCTGGTGCTTCTCGTTCTCTCTCTGTCCGCCTTTAACACACCTTGCATTTATACACCCCACTGTTTTCTCATGGCGCGTAAGAGGACCGCAGATTCGATCAAGGGCTGAAGACGTCAGTGGCACGCCGCTTCCGTCACGGCAATTGCTCATGAAACCATCAGGCCCATGGTGAGATTACGGTAAAGTTTTTTTTCTTCTTCTTTTGGCCTTAATTACTCTAAAGAATAAACTTGCATGGGGTAGGATTATGTTGACTCATCCTTTGAAAGTTAACCAGAGAATTTAAGTAGGATAGTTATAGAAAGTAAATTCCAGACATAGCAATAGATTGATAACCGACAATAATGTCAAAACACTAGTGTATGGCATTACTGACTGAGAGACATGTACCTAACACTTTCACAAAGGCCCAAGATAGTTTAAGGTGCACTGTGCAACTTTTCTGGTAGATGGTCTGCCACTTGCTTGTCTCCATGGAAATACTTTGCCTGGAATTTTCTATGGTATATACTATGGAACATTCTAGACAAAGCAATAACATTTCCTTGGAGACATCAGGTGGTGGACCCTTCAGTACAAATGGTACGCAGTGCACCTTTAGTGTATTGCCCAAGGACAAAACAACAGGCTATCCAATATAGGTACTACAGTCACATTTTACAGTTTTATCTTTGTGATGCATCTACTTCAATGCAGTCTTCATATATAATTTCTTCTAATTTTAGACTGATTCTCTGGATATGTTTAAATGAGCAAAGATCTATAAATGTATTGTCTAATCTTCTGCATTGTCTTGTCATGACATCAATCCCCATCTGCCTCAGCTGTATCTATGTGCTGATGCAGATTCACACCAGTACAATATGAATCCTGGTGGGTATTTGCCCAACACTGACTTCTATTTTCAGATTGCATTGAGTTTAAAACAAAAGGCATTGCCACATACATAACAGTGAGGCACTTTCTGATTCTGCCCATGGTGGAAAATGAGTCGATTACTTAAAGGTGCACTGAGTAACTTTTCTGGTGGAGGGTCAGTCACCAGCTTTTCTCCATGGAAATGTCTGGAATACTCCACATTATGACATTACACTTTATATTACACAAGTGACACCAAAGGGACAAGGTTACATGTCAGATCTGTGGAGAGGCAGCCCACTCACAGTAAGAATGCACATTTTTAAGTCAATAAAAACCTATGTTACTGAGTAAATGGATGATGGATATTTTTATTACTATACAGTATATTCCAAACAAAGCAACACCTCCGTGCTAACTAGCAGATGGTGAACCTTCCACCAGAAAAGTTACACTGTGCACCTTTAACCGTCAGGTTGTCAAGGGTCTCCTGATGTTGTTTACCATCAACAAAAAATGTACTAATTGCAATGGTTGCAATGAAATATATAAGATGTCACAAATGCAGCTGTCGTGGTCTCAAGCTCAAATAATTCTAGAGGATACTGTCAATTGTGCATTTCCAACATCAATGAAGAATCCCTGTATGGGGCCCTCTGTGGCTGCCCTATGGTCGGTATGTGTGGTAAATGGTAAATGGTCACATTTTTGTACAGCACTTTTACACCTTCAAGGCACTCAAAGCTCTTTACATTAAGGAACCACTCACCCATATTCTCTCTCTCTCTCTGTCTCTCTCTCTCTCTCTCTCACAAACACACACACACACACATTCATACACCAGAGTACACAGACACTCGGTTAAATGACTTGCCCAAGGACACAATGACAGAATTCACCTATGGGAGCTGGAATAGCTCCACAAGCACCACCAACCTGTGGGTGGAGTTAGTAGACCTGAATGCTCAACCAATGATTTTTATGTTGATGCTTTACCAGCAAAACACCTGATATGTGATATTGGCCACTGTATAGACATGCACAGTCTCCAAAATGTTAATCACCAGTGACTTCTATATCAGAATTGATCTTTTAACCATAACTTTAAAAATGACATGGCCTACTTCAGAAAGTCCTTGTGCACTGAAATAAAATGTTATTTATTTTTATCATGACAACATCTTCTTGTGTGGCAACGCTGGGTCATTCATTTCTCATGTCTGTCAGTGGTTGACTCGCCTCCTCTTGGCCCTTAAACCATGATGGCACCATCCAAACCTTAATGTGATCAGTCCAGGGAGAAACTGGATTATGCTGAAGTCCATGGGAGAAGGAGCTGGTTTAATTGACAGTGGTGATGGGAGACAGATCCCTGCAGGAACAGGAAGCTGATGGAGGAAACATCAGCAGCGTTATTATTATGATGATGTTGATGGAATGTGCCGAGGACAGAGACGTTCCTTTGGAGCAGAAACAGACCAGGTCACTTCTGGACTCAGCCCACTAAGCTGGAGACACTGAGATCATCAGCACTGACTAAACCCCATATGACAAAGGGAACTACCAGAAGTCACATACACACACATTTATTGTGACTGCCAAAGAGATGTGTGATGGTTTCATTAATTGTTTTGTGAGCAAAATAATACTAAATGGGTTTTATTTTAAAGGCATTTGCATGATTTATGTTTGTTATTAAACAAAAAACATTCTGGTGAAAAAAAAATCTGAGGCTCTATTAAATTGTCCCTTTTGCTTTCCCCATCATGTAACACAACTACATTCAGTTTGATAAGCCTCTGTCATTCAGTATGGCAGTTGGCACAGAGGCTCTGGAACTGTAGCATGAGTACACCCAGAAATGGTCTTATTCAGCTTTGGTAACAGCACATGTCATTAATTTAAATCTACATTTACCCCCAAAGTAACAGCTTTAAAACAAGATATTGCTAATAGAGGCTGCTTCGCCCATTTTTACACAACAGACTGCATCACAAAATCTGGGCAGCCTTTATATCACAACTCAATGTGTGGTTAGGGAATCCCTTGGCCCACTGCTGAGTGCCTCTTCTGCCCCATATTATCCAATTATGGAACTACAGAGTGACGACCATGATGGCAGATTACTCATGGCAGCCTGACGGGACCCGCTGAGGCCTCACTCTGTCTCTGTCATGTTTGTGTGCATGAGGTGAGTGTGGCTAAAACACAGGAAACCTTGTAAGCAGACCCCACATAAAACACAATGACATTCATTTGTTTAAAGCAGAAAGGCTACAACCAACAGCAAAACTCACATTAATCTATATTTATACTACATCTCTAAACTCTTAAAGGTTAAATAAACATAATGTAATCTATTTTCACGTAAATCATATTATATTTTCTGACATATCTAGGCTGCCATGACCAAGCAAATACTTACATTCAATATTCAAGCATGTTCATATCAAAATAAATGGACAAATTTAATGTCAATTTGTATCAGTAATTTCACAATTAAACATTTTGACCCACATGAGTTATCGTGCTCATGAAATACATAATATGGTTAGTCTAAGAAACATCCTGGTTGTCGTCATAGGAACCAGGCTCTGTCTCTAAACCAGAACTCACCAGGGTCTGTTGATGGACCATTGCCAAAAGCAGGACAGATAATAACAGGGCTTCTACCTGAACAACTATGTTAGTAAGTAAGTTTCCAAAAACCTGTTAGTATTTCGTACCTCTCTTTTGGATACAAACATTAACTAGAACCAGTGTCTCTGAGGGAGCCCTAATGGAAGCCTTGTTTTTGGCATTCAGTTGAATTAGTGCACCAGATCTCTTCATAGCATCCTAAATGAACTAAGGACATAAATACATTTGGCCTGCCTCCTGGCCCTCAGCAGACATTACATACAACAATGCCATCTTGAGACGTTAATTAGTACAACAGACACACACACACGTCCATCATTAGCCCCTATTAACCAGCAAAACCCCACCCATGATGCACTTGGGCCTTGCTCCCATAAGGGACCAATCAGATTAGAATGTTCGGGAAGATTATGTAATCACATGCCTTTAAAAAAACAAAACTTCTAAATACATATTTTCTAGATATTTTTCCATGTGGTATCATGAACATGAAAACAGTCAATTTGATTTTGTGGAATAAGAGTGAAGCCAATGGTCACAATAATGGCTTCATTCCATTTAGGTGAATTTCAAAGCTTTTTCTATTGTATCCTGTTGCTCACATGGAGTGGACATGTTATTATCTCTCCAGTTGTACTTTTCAGCAATGACATGTCAAAATGTCTGTTGGAAAACAGGTCACACCTTGATGTATCTTTTTTCCCTCAGACTAAAGAATGTTTTCTTCATAATTTACTGAAATTAAATTTGAATGTAAAATATAAATCCATAGGCCTCAATATTCCATTTTGGTTCTGGTAATGCAATCTGTCGTTATGTCTGCACTGTTGTCCCAGCTGCTTACCAGGCCACATATGCATGTATCCCATTGAAATTAGATTCTTTGATCCCCATCAGTTTGTGTATTCTTAAAACAAAATATGTAATATTATTGAACCTAAATGGTTTGTGTTGGACAGAGAAGAATGAGGGGTACCAAGAATCAGATGTGTGGTGCATACCTTTATTAAACTCTGTTTGTTAACTTAATGATTTCTTGTAGCCTATCATAAATATTGGCCTAAAAGAGGTTTCAACATTTTCTTCAAAGAATTTCTGATGAAACATTAAAAAACAAGCATTATTAGGAAAATCTGCCATGTTTGTTTCCAGTGTGCAAACCGTCCAGATGCATTACCCAAAACAATTTAAAAAAAGAAGACCTAAACAAAAGGGTAGTGTAAGAACCCAATGAACTCCTGCATCACTGCTTTTAAATAGGCTTCATTCACCACATTAGTATCAGACTGCATTTGAATGAATGCTACATAGCCTCAGTAGAGGAAGAAGCACTTGATTTTATTACACAAGTAAAAAAATGAAAAAAGTAAAAGTATTTTGCGCAGAGTTTGAGCTCTAATAAAACTCCAAATGTAGCGATTTTGACTTGATTTGTGCTGCTTTGTGATTTGTGATTTGAAAAAACAAAACAAAACTTAACAATAACAAACAAAAAAAACAAACAAACAAACCCCAAACAAACAAACAAAAAACTGGGTATTCAGAAGATCTGGTCTCGCACAGTAATAAAAATACTTTAACTTTTCAGTTCTGTAAAAAAATGTAGTGGAGTAGAAAGAGTCTCTCTCTGTTTTCTGACAGTCTCAGTTTAGAAAAGTACAGTACTAGGAACAGCAAGGATATTTCGCAGAACCCTCAAGTTCCAAGGACTGGATAATGATGCTAGATAATGATAAAAGAGAGAGGCCACCTCATTTTGTCCCAGGACCGAATGGGTATGAGTCTGTTAAAAGTGGTGATATTCAAAAGTGGTGCTATAGTCACAGTCATGAAATTTGGAACAAAGAATACTGACATGATGACGAATATAACAATATAGCCTTATGGGGGTTTATGCATTTCAGTTTGAAATTATTAGACCATTTATAAATTATATATATATATATATATATATATATATATATATATATATATATATATATATATATATATATATATATATATATATATATATATATATATATGCATTGTCAAAGACAAATGCTCTTGTGACAAATTGATCGTGACACACATGGAATTACAGTTTCATATGTAGGCTAAATAGAAAACTTCCCCAATTTATTAGCTTCAAATTAAGCCCAAGATGGTCACCTGCTATAACAGAAATAGAATTCTGTCATTTTGCCTTAGAATGCAGGGCCATTCCAACTGGCAGGTTTCAGGATTAAAAGTCATCTTAACTTTCATGGATTTTGTTCAAACTTGACACAATTCATGTTTAAAAATATGAAATATCAACTAAGTGAAATTTAGGTGTATCTTTTTAAATGTTTTGGGGGGATTTAAAAGGGGGATGTGGTCAAAATCTGAGCTAGCAGAAAATGTCAACTTCCTTTGGCCATAATCTTTGGACTCATAAACTGTACTTTTTTATACAATCCCTGTTTGGACTGCTTCTGGCAGATGATTATATTTTATTCCGACTTTTTATTATTTTTATACATTATAAAGCCTTTTTTTAAGACAATTTGTAGCCAAATATATAATCAGATAAAAACATAATTGCTTTTAACTCTTCACTATAAAGAATTTCTCCTCAGATAAGTAGGCTACTGTCACTCTGACCTGATAATGTAGCCGAGGCCCTAAACACACTGCACAGTCAGGTCTAAAACAACCGACGGAATAGGCTTGTGTTTACCGTACAGGCTGACCACGGCAAACGCGAGGATTTCAAAAGTAAATTAAATTTCAAAGCCATAATTGGCAGTCTTTCTGGACCGGGGCTCTTTCAAACGATAACCTACATAACTTCCCCATTAACACCTTGTGCTAATGGTAATTGCACAACAACTACAACATGCTTTCTATGTATGCTGATGGGGACCCGCACCTACGCTCTCGTAGAGCGTCAAACAAAAAACAAAAACAAAAAAAAAAACAAAAAAAAAAGGTTGGATTCTATTTTTTGAAATCCACGCGCGCAGGACGTGCAGCTCCACGCGCGCAGGACGTGCAGCTCCATACGCGAGCTTAGCGTGTGCAGTATGGGCATCCTCATTCACTTTTTACACCTTCTAAAAAATACGTGTTTAAAACATGCTGTTTTTAGCTTGCGTAGGTCGAAATATGCGTGCATGCAGTGTGTCCCAGGCCTTATGGCATTATTTGCTTATTTTGTTCACACTACAATATATGGTTGGTTGATACTATATTAACCAAGGCAAAATGTTCTCTGCACAATCCACAGGGTGGTTATTTAACTTCAAATGTGTTAGAGTTGTCTGAATCAATTAGGGTCCACTTCCACATGTTGGCCTAAATATAAATTTAATCTGGTTTCTTCCTGAAACTCTGATAAGATCCACTAGCCGTTGTTTATAGTTAATTTCTAAAATGTGCTCAAGCAGTGAATGCCTAGACTCTGCCTGTAGGAATAATTTCAACTTCTATTTTCTATTTTAAACCAAATACATCACTTTTTATAGTAGACTATTGAAGGGCAATTAGATTATTCATTGTAGTCTCTTGAAATTAATTAGCATCAGTGCCTTTCTGAGCATGGGTATGAGAGGTTTACGGTATCTAAGCAACCATCCCTACCATCCCGACGCACTGACGTCGCTCCTCCTCTGAAACGTCTCTGCTGATTGGTTGAGCCGAGCAGGAAGAGGATGTCGGGACATCAAGATGTCCGCGCTCATTTGAAAACCTGCCGTAGCCAAAATATTAGTTTGACATTTCAACATTGTGCTTCATATGCGTTTTAAAACTTCACGCTTGTTTTCAGTAACATCGTGAAGCCTAAGTTGTACACATAGTATAAGGACGCGACGACAAAGGCCAGTATATTCCTTATTATCAGGTTTGTCTCGTATTATTATTTCCCATAGCTAGCGATGTTAGCACTAGCCCAAGTTAATGATATTATAGCAGTATATAGCCTAGTATCGGAATAACCACAGGTGTCTTTGCACCTTAACTTTGCGTAATATGCTGTTAACTAATCTCTGAGTATAATTTAAGGAACGTGAGGACTTAGCGATTATAATAGAAATTAATACAAGTAGCCTTGTTGAGTATGAATTAAATCCTAAAGTTAGTACATGCAATTTACATTTCAATTTGGGCATTATACAAATATGGAAGCCTGCTTCGACAAATTTAAGATGCACAGGGTGCATAACAGATCACAACATTAAACGTTTTCTTGTCTGGTTCCTTTACAAATAATTATACTCAATTCTCTATTGTTGTTGCCAGTGTCATTGATTTTCATTGTGCGTGTTTGATTAAAAATGTTTTAATATTGCAGTGTGGGAATTAGGGATGCATCAACAATATTCACTAGTCTAATAATACTGAACCATTCAGTCCAACCAAGAAAAAGGTTAGGCTAAGCATGCCATATTTTAGCAAATACAGGAAGAAAACGGCTCTATAAAGGCATATTTTGCTAAATCTAGAACAGAAAATACATGTCTTTTTATTCTTTTGAGGCCTAAATTGTTTAAAATCATATCAGTATCAGTGTGAGTCATGTATCAAATTGTGAGGGAAGTGTACTGTTGCATTCCTAATGTAAATTTACATTTTACACTTTCTTTTCTTAGAAATAATGCTGAAATCTGGAACTCATGTCGGAAGTCGTGTATGAAGAGACAGTCACAATGATTGCCGCAGGGGAATTGCAGTCATTTATCCCATTTGGCCGTGAGCACTGCAGGAACCATCCCAACGCCTTCAACCTGCAGCTTAGAGAGCTCCAGCCTGCCTCAGAGCTCTGGTCGTCTGATGGTGCCGCTGGCCTGGTAGGGTCCCTGCAAGAAGTCAGTCTACATGAAAGAGACAGGGTGAGAGGCTACAACTTGAAATAAAATGTTGAAAGTGCTGGAATATATTTGCCCTGTGGTAATATTTCTGATGCCATGAATGTGCTGTTAACAGGAATGTTGGCAGCTAAGAAAAGGCTGGGCTGGGCCTCAACAGGAGGATGTAGATTTTGAAGAGGAACTCTACACAGCTGGAAATGTCGTTGTTTGGAGTCAAGGCAGCAGTACACAGGCGTCCAGTGTCTATAAAGCCTTTACTGTAGACAGTCTAGTGCAGAAGGTTGGTATTTTCACATCTTTGTTAGGCAATAGACCCCCAAGAAACCTTTTTGAATCCAACTATTGTCAGTTCATATTCTTATTGTTGTTGTATGACCCTTATTTGCATTTGGTCGTCCATGTAGGTGTTATTAATGAATAAACATTGCACCCAGGGGCAAAGAAACTTGAATCTCTATAAAGCCACTATAACTAATTTCAAGTAGTAATGGAAATAATTATTATTTACAGGCACTGTGGTGTGACTTTGCTGTTCCACAGACTAAGAAAGATGGTATAACATCTCAAATATCCATTTGTGACATCCATTTTGACTGATTTGAATAACTAAATCAATTCTTTTTCAAAACTTCAGCAGAGGAAGAGGTGGAACACACTGTGTGTATCATGCAGAGCAGCTGTATCAATGTCCACACTGTGACAGGCAAAGACTTTATTTCCCCACTGCCCTTCCAGGTAAGACAAAATATATTTGCTGTATTTTTGCCTATTACATACTCCTTCAGAAATATTTTATATTTTATAAAGGTGTCTGATGTTTGGCCAACAAAGTTTGGACTTGTGTTGGAAAGGAAAAACACAACATCTGATTCTCAGCTCAACACTCCATGGTATGTTAATATTCAAATGTATGTAAGGAGCAAGGTTATTAAAGATGATCTTTTTCATCTTTTGGGAGTATTGGTATTATTATATTTATATGGTATTATTTTTGTTACATGAGCTCATTTGTTTTTCAGCGAACCTCTACCCACAGTCTTTAGCATGATGCACCCTCTTGATGAGATAGCGCCAGTTGTGTGCAAACCAACAGGTAAAACAAACCAATTTATGTCATGCACTATAATTTATACTTAATCTTTTTTGTCAGCTCTCTTTGAAGGGAGCCGTGTACAGTATGTGTTTGACACTGCAATGAAGATAGTGTTTAGCAGCTCTGAGCCCTCAATGATGGTCTCATATGACACTGTGCAAGGAACTCACTCTGTATGGGCCCTGCGCAAAGTCACACAGGATGTAAGTTATTGCAAACTGCATGAAAAATTATAAATACTGCTTTTAACATTTAAACTTTTAACTCAGGAGAAGAACACAGTCCTTAGATGCCCTTCTGAGCCTCCAGTTGGCACCCCCATTGGTGTGATGGCTTCTAGTTTTTTAACTTCTCATTTGCGAAATATTTCACGTTTGGACTCTCCTGGAGGTCCAGGTGGAACTGGTCATGGCCCCTCAACAGGCCCGAGGTGATGCACAGATAGCAAAACATAAGAGACTTCTTTGTTTAATTTATGGAATTTTTATCTATTAGGACAAGATATAAAACAACTTTGTCTTAATAAAGAATCAAATTTACTGTTTAATTCCTGTATAGTTGTACTGTTGGTACCAGCTCCCCTCTTCACTACAGTGTTCTGCATGGCCACCAAAGCAGGATTTTGATGTCCTCCCCGGGATTTCACTCTCGCATCAGTTCACCGAGTATTTCCAATATGGCTGCTTTGAGGTAGATTTGAGCAATATTGCATAAAGATTGAAAGTAGTTGTGCAAGACGAACAATAACAATTTTCTCCTTGATATTTTTATCCCTCCTTCTCACTGTAGTCGAGCACACTCCCCGGGCATGGCAGCTCCTTCTTTATCGGGCACAGCCCGCTTTAACACCTCTTTCCATAGCCCCAACCCAAGAGCACATGGCCTGTTGCCGTCTCCCAACACCACAGTGAATGACACTTTGCTGGTCCCTGAGATGGAGCCCATCATACCAGACCTGTGCCTGGAGCAGCTGTGGAGTGAACCCTTATCATCTGGGAGCCATAGGTACAGCAAATAACAATCAAAATAATCACGGCATGCTTGTTCATACATTTTTAATTTCAAAATTTTATTTCTCAATGACCCACTTTACTGTAGAGAAATGAGCAGCCAGGCTTCAAAGGTCTTCCTGACATCGGACCTTTGTGAGAATAAGTACCTCTGTTTGCTGGTTGAATCACATCAACAGCTCAGGTAAACAATAACACGTAATAATTCTCTTATTAACCCTGTGAGCAAATAATGGGAGTAGATGTCACTGAGAGTATATATTTTTAATATTTTATCTTTATATCATGCACAGAAAATAACAGAATATGATGTACATGTAGTTCACCCTCACATGTTTCTGTGGTAACAATTGCAAAAACACACAGGCAACACACAGTGGCTAAAAATTATACATTTAAACCCCCACGTTGCTCTAAGGGTTAATGGGGCATTGTTTACAAATAGAAAGCAGTTATTTCTGATCTTTTTATTATGTTTCAGGTGTATCAAGTTTATTGAAAGCAATAATGATACGTCTCAGTTTATTTTTGCTTCAGTCACTGCCATTCCTGCTAAGGACGCAGCTCCTCTTGAGGTATGCCACTAAACACTACTACAAATACACACAACAACCTTAACTGCTAAATGTGTTTCAAATTGCCTTAAAAGTTCAACTGTACATACTTTAAAATAATAAGCTTTTGGAACTTTTAGAACATAGATGCAATGCTTGTGCTGGAGACCTGTGGAAGCCTGGTGCTTTACACTGGGGTCACCAGGGTTAGTAAATTCAGTTTGTTTAACATAATAATTTAGTGCTGTGTTCACCATAAAACTAAATGTATACCTTATTTTTATTTACAGATCAGTAAAGTGTTTGTCCCAGGACTTTTGGGTCCTACCTTCAGCATGTCCAACCATAGCTCTCATCTCACACCAGGCCCAGGTGACAATGTTAGCACACCTGCTAATGCAGGAAGCAGACATCTCCAAAGACTGGATGAGGTATGATAGATTCTTGGTTTAAAATATAAGTGTGCATTTCTTTTCCATAGTTGAATAAGTCAGGAATTTACTTGCAATACATTTAGTCCATCTTTATAAAGATGTAATTATATTAACCTTATTTATTTTGGTCTTTGTCCCCTTTTAAGGCGGCAATGCCTTCTCCAGTGTCTGAACTGAGAAGGCCTCATATTAAACATCATGAAGCTTCATTTATGGATGATTACCCCTTCCAGCAAGCGACCCCCCACATAAGCGCTCTGCGAGACCCTGTGTGCAACCGAGTTTCTCTAGTAAGTCAAAGTTTACTATTTGCTAAATAGAGTAATTTTAGAATGATGGTGACACTATACTGTACATTTGCACCATAACCAGCACACCTTAAACTTTGGAACTGTAACCTGTTGCTTAAAATTAAAGTAATAATGAATACTAAATATCTCTTCAGGAATTAAGCAATGGCACAATACTAAGGATACCCATCCCAGAGATTGCTACTTCTGAACTCGGTGAGATTCCACACTTGCCCCCCATTAAAATAGCAAATAGCTCATATAAATAATTGTGTATCTTTTGTTGGACAAATAATCAAATTATATGGAGGTGTGTGAAGGAAATGAAATGTATGTTCCCATTAGCGTGTGTGTGGGAAGTAATGGCTTGTGAATCAATCCAGTCAAGGTTTAGTTAACTCGATAAGAAATTGTGTACTAATTAGTTATAACTAATGCACTAGCATCTATATCTTTGTATAAGCATTTATCAGCCCGAATTGCTTCTTGGTTATTTGAAATTGACTGTGGAATAATAATACAATATAGGTTAAATATGAATGTGGTGTGTAAACTAGTGGTTGAACTAGATAGTATTTAATATTGAAGCTCATCTAGTACCTCCCTTTGTACTGACTTTTGTCTGAGTAAAAATTCCCAAATATATGTTAAAGTGACATGCAAGGCTTTCCTCCATTAGTTAAACTATAATTTCTAACAGTAGTTAAATTAAGATGCCTAGTAAACAGATTCTGTATAGTTTTTTTTTTACTACTTTAATGTTGTTGGAATATAATTCTTTTTGTTTGTGATGTGTTTCTTTTAGTAAGAAAATGCCTTAAGGCTATTCGCTTCATCCTTCCTAAAGAAGCTGCTATGAAAGTTGGTGTTTTTACTTGTCTTATCAAAATATTAAAATAATTAAATGCAATTTAATTGAAACTGAATTTTGGACGTAAACATTGTAACAGATGGAATTATCTTTAGGTTTTGGTGAAATGGTATACCATTTACAATGCTCCAGGTGGTCCTAGTACCCATTCAGAGTGGAACATGTTTGTGACATGTTTCATGACTCTTATGGGCTACAATACTGAGCGGCTGGCGTGGACTCGCAACGTGAGTGTTTTTGCTTCATGGCTTAAAAAATCACAACTATAACATTTCATTGTTTATCTTGCCCTTGCGTTCAACCCAATTTTCTTTGACAGCTTCAATTTGAAGTGCCCCTCTCTCCTGTGATTGCTGCCAAGAAGGCTCGACCTTCAGACGGAGGCTCCGATGAGGTCTGTGTGATGATTGTATAGATCTATGTATGTATATATGTAATTTTGATGTGCTAAAATGTCTAAATGTCTGTAAAACGCTGCAGGATTGGGACTATTTGCTGGGTTCTCACTATCATTGCCAAATGATTTCACAGCCAGTTTTTGCATCACCAGAGTCTGTGGGTATTTTTAGTACAAGTTAAAAGAGATGTATATGACAAATGTATTAACCTGTTTTTGTATAACTCTCAACATAGGTGTCTTCTCCCACTGGCCCGCCACCAAAGTTGGACAGTTCGGCTCCGCTATTTCCTCACATTCCAGCTCTTTTTTATGTTCTGCACTTGATCTATCAGGAGCTTTTGCTGGATGAGCTGCAGAGAGCTAGTGCATCCTCACTGCTCTGTCTGTTGCAACAACTGGCCCGGTAAATGTCTGTCCGCTCAGTCATATAGTTGTAGACATATTGGCGATTTTTGACATTTGTTGTTAAAATCAATTTTGTGCTTTTTTTTTTTTTTTTTTTTAGTTTTCAGACAATCTTAAAACTTTTTTTGTCAGTGTTTCCTAATGTGTGCATTGTGTCACCTTGGTAACTGCCACATGTATTTCTAATGGTGGAGTGTCTAGCACACCCCCAACATGATGTTGGTGCAAAATATCAATCGCTGGATTTCAAATGGCATCACATCATTCTATAAGTCAGTATTATTTAATACAGATGGGGGCAGCTAAAATTAATATTGTTAAAATGGCACTATTCCTGGTAGAACAGGGAGTTCTTGGGTCTAGTCAGTAAGAGAAATTACCAGGTTTCGCATTCTGAAAACCACTAATACTAGACATTTGTGAGATTGATTGCTGTAATTAGTAACAAGGACAGTGGTCATCAGAGATTAAGTGGATAAAATATTTTATTTTAGTTTAAATGTTTCATATATTATTATCATCATTATTTATTTTTGGTCTAACAGGAAATGCATGCCTTAAACATATTACATCGTGCTCCAACCAAATTTGATTACACTTTAACTAGAACTATAATTCACCATTTACAGCCTTTATAAAGCATGAAGTAAGTCTAATTAATAATGAAAAAAATTGTTTCTGGCTTTGTAAGTACTTAATTAATACCCTAAACCCTTAATAAAGTTGTTACTATGACTGAAGCATTCTTTATACACTTGTTCTTTATCAATTAAGTCTTTTTTCATGCTTTGTTAAGGATAATTAAGGTGTATTAATTATTAATTAGTAAAGGTGTTACCCATAATTATTTTGATTGCATTAATTGAATATACTCATGTAACCCCCCCTCCAAAAAAACACCATAACAGAACATGTGATTTTAAATAAAACATAAATGTGTTGGAGATTCTAATTTCCTCTTCAGGATTAAACATTATTGATTTGTTGAGAGGGAATCGTAATTGAACTCCACCTGCTAATTGCTAAGAGACATGTTCTTAATCACAAGTGCAACCCCTTTTAGGCCTGATTGATTACTTTTAGAGATTCATTATATATTTACCGTGCTCAAGGGCCTTGATGTGGTTTATACTATTAACAAATGTATTAATGTACTTCTCCTTTCACATTTGTACATCCGAAGACATCATACAGTTTTTCTTACAGGGACCTACAATTGGATTCATATGTGGATCTGTATTGGAGAGACTACCCCTCATTAATTAGATGCTTCAGTGAGAGCTGCCTCGTGGACCAGGGTAAGACCCATTTACTCTAGTGATGGTAACGAGGCAGGAAACAGGCAAGACAGATCATCAAAGGTCAAGATGGTCTGGTGCTGTTGGCTGTCTACAACTGTGACTCCCAATTCACACTGCCTTTTCTTACTCACAATTTATTTTACCTCTCTGTTATATACTGTTTTTTTTTTTTTTTTACATTTTCAGTTTTATTTCTTTTTTTGTCCTCAGGTCAAAATAATCAGATGCATCGCCCATCCTTTTTGAGGGAGGACCCACCGTGTGTGTTCAACTGGCTCAGCAGCTGTTTAAGAGGAGAGGAGGTGCCTCCTTTTCCCTACCTGCCCAACATCTGTCAGAGGACTAAGCTGATTGTTTTGGTATGGATACAGGCTTTTGTTTATGTTTGGCATACGTCTAAGTTTGACACCAGTAAATTATATGTTATAGGTTATTATATAAAGGCTTAACATATTAATTTCTTTCATGATACAAAAGTCTTTCCTGTGTAGCACACAAATTGTAACATAATTGTGGCCTGATTATATATTGACTTTTTTTCTTTCTGTTTATTATATTTATCAGCTAAAAAACAGACAAACGTACATTTACATGTGAAGATCTCTGCAAAACAAAGCACACAAAAAAGTATATTAAATATGAAAAAAGATTTAAAAAATGCAAAAATCATATTAAAAATAGGGATTATATTATCATATCTAACTGTATATTAACAGATTTCTGTTTCAGATTTTTGTAGTTAGGGGCAATATATTGAAATATTATCTTATTATATCTTGTTCTGAAGAAATGCAAAATGAGAACATTGTATATATCATCTGTAAATAAAATACATTTACTGTAGAAGGGCTGTAATCAATGTAACAAGGGTACTAAGTGATATTTCTGCCTTCTTGGGGTTAAATTCATGCTCCATTCATATTACATGTGCTACCAAGTCACCCACAGTCACACTTAAGCACGTTCCCAATGCGGTGTCAAAACATTGACTGAATATCATATTTGAGATGATGCAAATAAAAGGGTAAAAAAATCAGTTTATTGAACTTGGTAAGCCAATCTGTAAATGTTATCAGGATGTTTAGCACTATTAGTACTCTGTCGTCATTTCCACAGAAAGTGTTTTTATCTGAACATTAACAATTATTCTCAGTGTAATAGACTGTATGTACAGGTATGTAATGGTGGTTGGTTGTTCTTTCTACACTATTTATTATAAAAATAGTGCTAAGTTGAGATCTCTTCAAAATAAAAATGTGTTGCTATACTTGTATTTCCTTTTGTGTTGCCATTAGGGGTTATGGTTAAATTAGTTGAGACTTACAGCCCAATACTGTGAACTTCAAACCACAGACCTTTTGTGGCTCTTCAATGTCACCTGAATATTTTCTTTTAAATTTGATTTACATTTTCTCCTGTTTTTGTGGTCTACTTGTAGCATTCATTAATTTATTTTTTTGTCCTTATTCTCTCTCCAGAGTTATGCTCTGTACATCACTGGAGATGAAAATGCGACATCAACACATATGTCCAAATATCTTGTCAAACTCTCTGCTGGTGAGTGTTCGGAGCCAGATACGTGTACATGTGAAGTTATTATCAACTAGCTCTTATTTACTACCCATGCCATATTTATGATTAATTCTTGTACAATTACACTAAACATATTCATGTCTTTTAATTAAAGGTCACAAGTTCATCAACGAGCCAAACTACAGACGGTAAAAAAAATATTTCAACTTAAAGGTGCACTATGTAACTTTTGTACCACCAGGCCAAGTTACAAGTCAGATCTGTGGAAAGCTGACCCTGATCATTGTAGAGTACACTGTTTTTTGAGCAATAGACAAGCACATAAAAGCAACATAAATGCGCTTAATGCCATACTGTGAAAAATTTCAGGCAAAACAATGAGGACAAGCAGTTCGCATACCCTCCACCAAAAAGGTTACATAAGGCACCATTTCAGTACTGTTATTTTTGTATATTTTATATTGTTTATTTTTGTGTTGTTGTAGGTTTTAATCCTACCTGTTCTTTTTAGGCAAAGTAGTGTTCACATGAAGTTTTCTTCAGAGAGTCTGGCTGAGCAGTTGGTAGTCTGGCTTACCTCTGAAGGTAGCAGTTTGGGTAAATGTAACTTTAAGAGGAAAGTTGGGAGCTTTGTTAATAAAATAGCTTTTCTTGTTTTAGCTTTCACCCTAAAAGATCTAGAGTCTGTTCCTTTTGGTGTCGCACTTCCTATCAGAGAAGCAATTTACCGCTGCCGTGAGCAACCGTGTTCTGATTGGTCAGAAGAAGTCTGTTTATTGATCGGACGTCAGGATCTCACAAAACAAGCACACAAGATGACCTTGGCCAAGAGCAAAAGTGTAAAAATACATCATCTTTGTACCTGCATTTTATACAGATATGACATTATATAACGTATCTTTTCTTTCTGATCCTGATCCTTCACATAAAAATAACCCTGTAGTCTGTAGGCTCTGGCCTGTCTTTGGAACCTCCAGCCTCTACAGAAGTAGATGGGGAAGAGGATGGGATGTCAGATATAATTCACGAGGTACCAGATCCTTGTGCATTTTTACACTGGGTCCTCAGCTGGATGTAACTCTGCCCTTTTTAGGTCACAGGACTGATCTGGAGTCAAGACCTCCGGGTCCAAGAAGTGAGACGGCTTCTGCAGAGCTCCAGGCCAGTGCGGGTCAGCGTTGTTCAGTTGCCTGAAGTTTCAGACCATGAATACATAGAGGAAAAGGAAAACAAGTTCGTCACTGGTTGATTTTATATATTTTTTTTGCGAAATTAATTTATGTTTTGTTTTGTCAAATTTTTTCTTGATTTATTTTTTGTGTCAGGCTTCTGCAGTTATGCCAGCGAACTATGTCTCTTCCTGTTGGACGAGGCCTGTTTACTCTCTTCTCTTATCATCCTGTACCAACAGAGCCATTACCTGTGCCAAAACTCAACCTCACTGGTTGGTATCATTAGCTTGTTGTCTTCAACTTCATACTAATCATATTCTTTTCTGATACAGTTTAAAAACCTGTAAAACGTCTTGCATAAAACAAACAATACATCCATATATTGCTGAAAGAAAATAATTTTTATTCATTTTCATAATTTTTATGGATTCTTTTGATTTTCCACCAGGACGAGCCCCTCCCAGAAATGCCATGGTTGATCTGAATAGTGGAAACATAGATGTTCCTCCCAATATGACTAGCTGGCCCAGTTTTCATAATGGAGTTGCTGCTGGCCTCAAAATAGCTCCAGCCTCACAGGTCAGCCTCATGATCACTGAGCTGCTTGCTCTTTAATATTTGCTGTGCAAACTTTGTTTTACAATTTACATGTGTTTGTTTTTAAGGTGGACTCAGCTTGGATAGCCTACAACAAACCGAAAAGCCCAGAGTTGGCCAATGAGTATGCAGGTTTTCTTATGGCGCTGGGGCTCAATGGACACCTGACAAAGTTGGCCACACTCAACATACATGACTACCTCACAAAGGTATCCCACATACAAAGTGTATAAAGACAATTCAGCCGAAAGGTTTAATTATAAAAAAGCTGACACTGGAAACAATAAGCACTGCTTGACTCATTACATGCTTTATAAAAGCTGAAGTTTACTTGTAACTTCCTCACACCCATGCTTTGTGCAATGTAATAGACATTGCAGGGGTTTGTCCCATATTCTTAATTAGCTGATCCTGATCTAGACTGCTTCACTAATGAGTGTGCCAGCTGGTACAGTCCTTGTGTCCTCTGCTGGCTCTCATATTGTGAGTCTTTATTTTTGCAGGGCCATGAGATGACCAGCATTGGGCTCTTACTGGGTGTGTCAGCTGCCAAACTGGGCACAATGGACATGTCTGTGACAAGACTGTTGAGTATTCACATCCCTGCTCTTCTGCCACCAACCTCCACAGAACTGGACGTCCCTCACAATGTGCAGGTAAGTTGTTCACAATATATACACTTTTGTGTAATAAAAAATATTTCTTAATTTGTTATTATATTTTTTGCAGGTTGCAGCTGTGATTGGAATTGGTCTTGTGTATCAAGGAACAGGCCATAGGCACAATGCTGAAGTCTTATTGTCTGAGATAGGTAAATCAATGCCCTTAACATGTAATGGTTTTATTTATGCAAAATTTAACACAATAGTGTTGAACTGTGCTCAATGATGCTGCTTACAGGACGACCTCCTGGTCCGGAGATGGAGTACTGTACTGACAGAGAGTCCTATTCCCTTGCAGCTGGTCTGGCCCTGGGCATGGTCTGCTTGGGGGTGTGTTTTCCTCCTTTTGCAAATCCATATTTTAAAATTGCATTTGGGGCCGGTCAAGCGGTAACGGAGGGAAACAGGGGCAGATTTTTACATTCAAATATCTCTTATTCAGAAACTAGAGGGACTATTGAAATAAGTAAGGTATCAGAATGTAGGAAAGAGTTAACACTCCAACAGGGTAAAGTTAACCCTGCGATATTCTTTCAAGTTGTTGACAAAAAATTTTAAAACTCATGTTGGTAACGGAGGGAATGAAATATGCAGCACTTTTTGGGCAATAAATACAAACAGCGATAACTAGCGGTTCTCACTTACATATCCTTAACAAACTGGTTTGAATATTTGCTTCATATAGTTTTCTACCATATGGTATAAGATTAGGTTGAAAAACTCTTACTTTTTGAGTAATGAGATTTTTTATTAAGAAAGGTCATGGTAACGGAGGGAAAAGTAATGGAGGGAAAATTGTGCAAGCAAGTAGAAGGTGCATGATTTTGCATAATTTGTCAGCTTTTTTCTTCTGAATACTTTAATATTACTTTAAAATGAAAGGTAACTATTTCTATAATATATGTCAGTCCTTTCAAGCTAATTTTTATCATTTTAAATACTTTTTTTTTTGAAAAATCATCAACAATTCAAAGATTGAATAACACAAGATATGATGAATGACATCAATTTATTTACATGATTTGCAGGTCTTTGAAATTTGGGAAATAATTTTTGTTCCATGTTTCATACATGGTACGTTTAAAACATATGTAACTTTAGAACCAAATATGGTACAGAAAAAAGGTAAACAGTTTCATAAACTAGAGTACATTTGCTATCTGTTGAATACATCTTTATATCGGATGCATTAACTTGAATTTTTGGCCTTGCTGTATACTTCTGCTTGACCGGGCCCATTTCTGTTTTTCATGAATCCATGTTTCAATGTTTGTGCCCTTGTTTATTCTTGCCCTTTTTGCTTGCAGCATGGAAGTAACTTGATCGGCATGACAGACTTGAATGTGCCCGAGCAGTTGTATCAGTACATGGTGGGGGGCCACCGGAGAGCACAGGCTGGAGCCAGTCGGGAGAGACACAAATCACCCAGCTACCAGATCAAGGTACATGGACATATGCGTTATTCACTCTGCTCTCTGAGCACATGCCAAAATATCCCTTTTCCCCGAAAAAGCCTTAAAATACTCTTGTTACAGGAGGGAGACACCATCAATGTTGATGTCACTTGTCCAGGAGCTACACTGGCTCTTGCCATGATTTATCTCAAAACCAACAACCGGTAAGAATCCTTCATCATGAATTCAAAAGCTTTATGATTATCCTATGGTCATTATTTTTGATTTGGTGCCAACACGGTGCCCAAACAGGAAAACAAAGTAGACCATCCTAACCTGTCACTCGGCATATCTCTATTACGTTCATTTTAAAGCTGCCTGCTTTTGGTCAAGAGGTTCCTATTTTCTTGTCAGACTTGGGATGCTTTATATTAACACCTTCTTGTGTCTTCCTGAATTTTTGTGCTTTCTTCCTCAGGTCGATAGCTGATTGGCTGAAGCCTCCAGACACTTGGTTTCTTCTGGACTTCATCAAACCAGAGTTCCTGCTGCTGCGGGTGAGTCCTATATGACTCATGTGTTTTTCTCACCTCGCCTTTAATATAATTCGACTGTTCTTTCCCATTTTTGGTTTCAGACTCTGGCGAGGTGTATTATCATGTGGGATGAGATACTCCCAAATGCAGAATGGGTGAAAAGTAACATACCTCAGGTGAGAAACATAAATTATTGGACATATGTATACATGGATAAATATTCTCTTTGTAGGTCTAACACATATCCACATCTTGATTTACCCTTGCATACAGTATGTTATGGGTAGAAATCTTACATATATATTTTTCATTTGTAATAATTATGTAAACTACGTTATAGGGATTAGGATTTATGAATGTATGTCTCCCTATCTGTTTAGATTATGAGGGGGACATTGCCCTCAGAAGACATCAACATGGAGACAATGACGTAAGTATTCTACCACTCTCAGACCCACACTGTAAATAATGATTAATGTTTTGCCTTTGTAAAGTCACTGAAACTCATATTTTTCTATAACTGTAATTTTTCGGTTGAAGTCAAGCCCAGGACTACATCACAGCTGGGGCGTGCATGGCACTGGGACTGCGTTTTGCTGGTTCTGCAAACTCTGATGCTTTTGATTGTCTTTATGAGTTTGCTCAAACGTTCATGAAGCACATCATGACCTTTTCTGGAACAAATGCAGTGGTAAGTTGAATTGTATTTTTCTATTTACATTAAAAGTTTGCTATGTAACTTTTTTGTCCAAGGGTCTACCACTTGCTTGTTTCCATGGAGATATTATAGCTTTATCTGGAATTAATTAAACTTGTAGCTAGCTTGTGTTTATTTAATTACAGGTATTTTTTAAAAATCCACTGGATATGCATTCTTACTATGAGCTCGCTCCCCTCTCCAGCCAGTATACATTGTAAAAGCAACACTTTGAGACCACTGTGCACTGCGTACAATGAACTATTAAGTATTTTATGAATTGTAAACCTGTAAAAAGTCAGTCGACAATGTAGTGGTGGTCTACTCAGCTACACTTTGTTTTTCAAAAGAAACTGTTTGAAAGCTGTATGCATGCCTGAAAATTCAAGCAACTGAATACTAGCATTGTGCCAAAGAGTTTACAATTACATATATTTAAAAACCTACCCCCACTATGCATAGTTTGAAAATCTAGTACCCAGCTGTAATGCCATTAAAGGTGTTAGGATAACGTACTTCACTATTATACTAATCTTGCTCTGCCCTGTCTTCACTAATGAAGCAGACAGGCTTCTACAATCTTCAGACTGGACTGTCCATGATCCTGCTGGCCATGTCCATGGTCATGGCTGGCACTGGGAACCTGAAAGTGTTGCAGCTTTGCCGGTTCTTTCATAAGCGAACAGGTGGAGAGATGAACTATGGATTTCACATGGCTCACCACATGGCTCTGGGGCTGCTCTTCCTCGGAGGTGGAAGGTAAAAACATGTCAATTTATAAATCTGGTTGGTGACTCAGTCACTAAACACGCCAATGTTGCATAAACCGCATTTTCAGATTTGATCAGATTAACCTTTTAATTTAAATTCATTCACTTTAGCTGCTCTGCCTGTGACCGAATGCTCTTTTTGTGTATTTTTGCACTAATTGTAATTTGAATGTGAAGCAGGGTCTGCCAAGGTTAGTTTAGGTCGGGTAACAGGGTCATTTAATATCATTGTTTATTTCTCCTTTTGACTTTTGGATATCCAACCTTTCGCTTGGTTTATTCAGTTCAGCCTGTATCTTTATTATTTTCACCTCATTTGTTAGTCATATTTGCATTCCCTCTTCTATTCTCCAATTATTAGGCCAGAGCTGAGGAACAAATTAAAATGTAAAAAGTAATAAAACAGCATAAATCAAGTAGAAAACCAGACTGAACACGCCAGTGACTGGTATTGGAAAAGTTGAACTTTTGGACATTTAATTTTGAGTGAAGACTAAAATACTAAAAGATAACTTGGTAGCACCATCTCAAAAATACATTTTACAGTAGTGGGAGACCAGCTCAAAAAAAGTCAAAAGTCACAAAAGTATGTAATTCTGAAAAAATCTTTTTTCATTTTTAGGTACAGCCTGAGTACCTCCAATTCAGCAATAGCTGCTCTGTTGTGTGCCTTATATCCACACTTCCCTGCCCACAGTACAGATAACCGGTAAGACATGCTATATTGTTTAGCTAACATCAGAGTTGGCAGTCTATAGAGTGACATGGTCATATACAGTCGCTGGTCTGTTAGAGGTGCAGATATGAACAAAGAAGATGACATCCACATAGCATAATACACTGACTGAATGTTGAATGTTGAGTTGAATGTTCTTGTTCAGTTACCATCTCCAGGCTTTGCGGCACTTGGCAGTTCTGGCTGCTGAGCCCCGTCTACTGGTCCCAGTGGATGTGGACTCCCTTAAACCCTGCTATGCTCTCCTGGAAGTCACCTACAAGGCAAGTGTCCCATATCACCTTATCATCAGCTGAGGTACTGCAGCATCTTACAACTGAAGGGAAATAAGCATATCGCCCATAATACCTAATAGTTTTTGTTTTCAAAGTTTAAGACCAAGCTCAAGGTTTGCTATCCCCTATTGGAGAGATTTCCTTTGGATCATAGGGGTTGCTTTTATTCAAGGCAAGGCAAGTTTATTTGTAGAGCACAATTCGTACACAAAGTAATTCAAAGTGCTTTACAGAATAAGAAACACATTAAAGTCACAATAAAAACAAATCAAAACATAAATAATCAATGGAATGAAAACCTATCAGTCATATGCACAGTTAAGCAGAACCGCTTTGAGCCTGGATTTAAACAGCGTCAAAGTAGAGGCCTGTCTCACATGTTCAGGAAGACTGTTCCAGGTTTTAGCTGTGTGAACCTGAAATGCTGACTCTGTGTGTTTAGTTCTGACTCTGAGCACCAGCAGGAGGCCGGTCCCTGAGGTCCTCAGAGTGTGAGATGGTTCATATGGCACTAACATGTCAGAGATGTACTTTGGTGCTCAGCCATGAAGAGATTTGTACACTAGCAGAGCTGCTTTAAAGTCTATTCTCTGAGCCACAGGAAGCCAGTTCATACACACAAGACAGAAGAAACAAACTTTCATGAAATAGACAAATAATGACACATTCCAACATAAATTAAATGTAAATAATGTCATTTGGGTAGCAGTATAAAGTCACATATCTCAAATGTTGCACTGTCTCCACATTTCCACTACCATTATGCCATTACTTAGAAGCAGATATATACCTGTATGCCATAACAATAATTATTCTATTAAAACTCAGAATAGCTTTATACATGTTGTCTGAAAGTTATTTTTGTTAATTTGGTTTAATGCAGTTTCTGTCTAAAATCCACATACCAGTGCAATTTCTTTCTTTGTCCTGAAATATGCAAAAGCTTGTCACTGAACAGTGTTCCATGTGTCTTTCAGGAAACTAAATGGTACGATGAAACAACAGTGGAACTGATGGCTCCTACGATGCTCCCTGAGCTTCACCTCCTAAAGAGGGTAAAAACATTTTTACAATAACACAGTGGTTCTGCCACAATGTACGAATGTGCTCATTTAGCTCTAATTGATCAGGTTAAGGTGAAAGGCCCTCGTTATTGGGAACTGTCGGTGGATCTCAGCAAAGAAACACAACATCTAAAGTAAGTCACTACCTTCAGACATAGAGCTTGTTCACATGCAGAAGTGGCTCTTGCTGATTAGAAGACTCTTTTCTACAGATCGATCCTGTCCAGAGACGGTGTGTTATACGTCAAACTGCGAGCTGGACAGTTGCCTTACAAAGATGACCCACAGGGATGGAAGAGTTTACTTGCTTCATCAGTCAACCATCGGCTCTCTGGGGCGGGAGCATTTAAGGTGAACTTAACTGGAGGTAGTGGCAAACTGAACAAGCCACTAGTTAACTTGAAGGAGATGCTTTGTTTTGTGCTGTTGTATGTGCTGTGACGCAGGTGGACTAATTTGAGATCAGTTTGCATCAGCGACAACTTATAACTAGAGGTGGTCTCCAGAGGCCTGGGCTGGCAGGTTGTCACTACAGGTTCAGCCGGCGCTTGTGCATTTGACAGACTATAACTGCTTTTCTGTGCCCCAGTCTATGCTGTCAATACCCTTGAACTGAGTCCACAGGGAGGAAAAGATCATTTTACCCCCTCAACCCACTGTCCTATTTCCTCTCATTGTGCACTCATCTGTGTTTTCTTATTGTAAGCTTTCTGTATGGACACAGTAACACCTGGTGTTTTTTTTTTTTCTCTGCAGCCTGGAGCCATCTCTACATTGACCTCTGACCCTGTTCTGGTGTCCTTTGCTGAGCTGTTTTGTAAAAACTCAGAAGGAATGAAACATGTGAGTTAAACACAAGACAGATGTATATTTGCATATATGGCTCAGTGGACATGACGACACTTGAACACATGTGGTTATGAACACACATACAGCCATACAAACTGCTCCCATGACCTGTATTGTATAGCACCTCTCCTATTTTCTGAGTATAGTCTGCTATGGATTGGCTGAGGCAGGTTAATTGCTTGTATAGCACACTGTCTGACATAGAAATGGAAGAAAATTGCTCTGTGGCGTAACGTTTGATAATTGAATTTACAGTGAACACATATACACACTGTTGGTGTTTATCTCCTTTATCAGTTTAGTCTCCTCTCACTCCTGTTTTGTTTTATTAACATCTTATACCCGTTCTCAAAAATAATTGCTAGATTTAGTTGTCGTCTGGGAGATAATTCACTGTGAAATGTACTGTGATGCAGCTCCATAGATTTGAATGGCCCAGTGTATAGGTTTATTTTCATGGCATAATTTTGTTTCCTGGTGCTTTCTGTGTGTTTGAGCAGAGAGAAGAAACTTTGGTCTTGTTCTCTGCGATGCTGTATGAGTGTGTGACACAGGAATGTCCTGAGATGCTGCCCACATATATCGCCATTGAGCAGGTAAAGTAATGGGATTTAGTTTGTGAAAAAATACTTGTGTTTTTACAATCAATATCAACCAAGTTACACCTGCTGCACTTTCGAAATAACACAATAACTCATCTCAGACAATAGTTACAGTGTTATATTTGTACTAGGTCACTTTTCTGGTGGAGGGTCTGCCACCTGCTTTTCTCCATGAATCTCTCCATTGAGATGCACAGGTGACGCTACCAGGCAAAGTTACAGGTCAGATCTGTGGAGGAGTGACCCCGCTCACATTAAGAATGCAATTCAAGATATATCAATTTAATGCCATTCTGTGGAACATTCCACTAACATCCATGGAGACAAGCAGGTGACAGACGCTTCACCTCTACTTATCATTCAGTACATTATAGAATGGATGGAACAATACTTTTTGGTGGTGAGTGTTTATTGTGAGGACTTTTTCTTTGCACTAATGGAAAATTTGTGGATATCCCTTTCTGCAATATGATAAGATCTGAGCCATAGAAAGTTGAATTATGAACCAAAATTATAAACTAGTGCTGCATTCTACTATTTATTCATTGCAGCCCAACAGTATTTAACAATATTGTACAAGAAGTCTTTTTGAGGGATAATTATACTTTATCATTTATTGTCTATAGTTACTTCAATAATATATCGCACTTCAAAATGTATTATCATGACAGGCCTACCTCCACCAGGAAAGTTACATAGTGCACCTTTAAATCATTGACTGGAATAACTTACCATATAATAAGAGGTGCTTTTGTGTATTTGGTCTCAGGCAGTGGGGGCACTGCGTCAGGGGGCTCTCCTGCAGACCTTCCCTCTGTGGCAGCTGCGTTTGGTCCTGGAGCTCTGGGACAGTCGGCTGCTCAGGGGCTCCGACAGTCGCCATGGTGCCCTGCTCACCTCCGAGTTCCTCCCGGTCATGAAAAACATGGTGGATGTGATTTTGGACAAGTGGCTTAAAGGTGGGGAGATGAAAGCACTGGTAAACATTTGCAGTTGTGAAAATGATGCAGAGTTTAGCACAAAACCTCAAGACAAAAAACATATGATTTCTGTTGATGTTAACGCCTTTATATTTAGAGTTTGGGTTTGTTTTGACTTGTTTCCTAATGATGGGTGTAACACAGAGATTGTTGTATGTAAACTAAACTTGCATTCCTGCACGTCTACAAGCTTTTACACTACTATACACTTTTACTTTACTTTACTTTACTATGAAAACTAAATGCATATGCAACTAACACAGCTAAATGCATTTATTGCCTCAAATGCTTTTATTATCAAAAAATTACATATTTTATTAAACATAAGTGTGGAAGTTATCATTGATCAATTTATGAATGTAATTTCCATCAAGTTGTGAAGCCCATTGATATTATTGTGTATGTGAGGTATTATGATAAATATGGGTTTGTGCATATAGACAACACTTCAGTGGTGAAGTCCTACATGATGGGGGAGAGCTTTCCTAAAGATGTCCAGTGTCTGGTGTTGGCCTGCTTTCTGGTCTACAGGTCCATCCCCTACATGAAAAACACTCACTCTCACCTGGAAGGTAATATCACATTAACTGTACCCAGTGCACTTGTACAAAGTTACAATAAAATGTTTTTAATCTTTCCCAACTTCTGTGTAGGCTGCAGTTCAATGGGAGACTTGATTTCTCGCAGCAGTGAGTTGGGGATCCCTCTCAGAGACCTGCTGAGGCTGGCTCCTCTACTGCTGGGCTCCGCGACTGGGCTGCCCTCCCTCCTGGGCTTTTGACTCACCTGACTCGCCTGTGCGCTGCTTCATGAAGAATGGCGCCTGGAGTCAGAATATGATGCAGGTCTGGACAAACTTTGCCTCTAAGAGGTTTACAGCCACAAACAGAAGCAATTTGTTTTAAAACATTATTTCTGTCATACATTTGTCTGCATGCTTCTGCACTATGGTTGTCATTCTTGGTTTTAACCTTATAATTGTAAGTCCATTGTAAACAAACCATAAAAAATAAATATGTATTGACTTTGAATTACTGAATTTTAAATAATGCAAATACACGTCTTTAGTCTAACTTGGTATTATAAAGTAAATAAAAACAGTCTGTTTAATCACATCCCTAGATTCCCTTCTTTCAACTTCCCCATTCTACATTTGCCAGAGAAAATCGTTATCCTTCTAGGATGGAAATTGTTACACCAAACAAACTGCCTATTTTTTCCCCATCCAACTCCAAAGTGATAATATGACAACAGCTTTTTTGAATCATATTTGCACTAATCAATATGAACATTTATACATATTACCATTTCAATTGGCCATTACTTGAGACCAGTGTGAGAAATTAGATTAAGATCAAAAAGGTTTAAGAAATCACAATGTGGATACAGTTATGTGAACTATATTTAAAGAAGATGCATTATGTTTTGTTGATGAACTTTCACATATGTATATAATTTTTTACCTTTTGTTCATTTGTAGAAAGCAATGGTGGTCTAAACCAATTAAGTCTTAGAAACAGGTCCATTGACTTCCTGCTCAAAATGGCAAAAACAGATTCTCTGCTCCAGGTCCCGCCTTTTCATCATGGCATTTCACTGTAGTAGGTAGCAGACTTTCTGGTAACAAAACATTTTCGGATCCTATTTGAATAATACAAAGAATAAAAGTAAATAGCACAATTCATGCACAAAGTAATTCAAAGTGCTTCACAGAATATGAAATACATAAAAATCATAATACACGCAAATAAAAACATAACTAATGTAAAACCTTTCAGCCACATGCACAGGTCAATGGAACCGTTTTGAGCATCAGATAAAGGCTGGTCTCACATCTTCAGATTTTAGCTGCATAAAACTACATACATCACTCAAAATAGAAATCCAGGCGAGTTTATGATGACTAAAAGCCATTATAACATGTTAAAAGCTCGAAAAGTAGATTTTCTATAATATGTCTTCTTTAACTGAAAGCTAATATTTAATATCTAAATATGAAGACATCAGTCATTTAGGAATATATTTTTCCTAAAAGCACTACAAATCTTGATTTGTCAAACTAATCTACAGAAATTGCATTTTCTACTGTTATGAAATCTATGCTGTACAAATCTCCCTTAGTTATTTACGTAATATAATTTGTGAACAACAAACCCTCTAGGGATAACCCTGTTAACCCTGTAGATTTTACCTCTACAAATGTTCTGAAAACCTGTAGTTGAATTTGTTCTTCAGATGAATATAATTTAAATATTGTTTGCCTCATAGCATAATTGCCTAAAAAT